ATAGTTTGTGATGAAATATAGGTGTGCCTTTCGTATGGGCGATTAAGATCGTCGTGTACTTTTCAAATTCCTTCCTTTACTCAGTCCTGAAGCACAAATAAATTGCAACCCCACTGCCACCGAGTGCGCAGTTAAACACGGCAGGAACGACAACCACTGTGAAAGAACAAAAAAACCCAAATGTGTCTGAACTCACTTGGTGTGAACAAGAACGGAATCGGTTCGGTTAGTCCTTCCTTGCTGTCGTTGCTGCTGCTGCAGATGATTTTGTGGGGAGCCCCAATTACCAAATTCACATGGTCCTGGACCCAAATAACCAGGACAGGTCTCTTATGCAAGTGCCCGTCTCATCTGTGAACGCTTTTTAAGCGGTATTCTTTCTCCGAAGCTCTGGTCGTTGGTAGCAGCGCGTGTGCCTGCTGGGCAGCGTGCGTGCCGTGCCAAGTGGCTCAGTGATCGCATGTTGCGTAGGGGTGGCGGGTAATGTGTTTTAGGGGTACATTACTTAAATGCTTCATTCCTTTCTGGCAATATAATATAAAAAAACACACACACCCTACCCCTGGCATGTTCTATCTGGGGAAAATGTCAAGTGTGAAGTCATGGTCACTGGTGATTAAAAAGATGTTAACACCATATATTGTGTGTATATATATAGACGTAGTGTTTACTTTCCAAAGCAGTAGCATGTGTGGCAATGCAGCTGAGTACAGAGGCATAAAACCCAACAGAATGTTGTTCAGACACAGTTTAAAGCAGAACCAGTGCAGAGGAAATAATATCTCATTAAGGGGTGCACATATCGCTAGCACGGTACCAGCTAATGAAAGATGCATTCCCAAGTCGTCCCGATTTATGGTAAGCATTCTCAAAGCAGCTTTATAATTCTCGTGAGAAAGGCCTTAAACGATTTTAATTATTTTTTAAGAACTCCCCTGTGAACTGTAAATCTAGCCTGCCCGGCTGGCTGCTTGCAACTTGGACAAAGTGAAGCCTAGTGGCTGACCTATCGCGCTCCGCCAGTCTTAAGCGCCGTCGATCTCAAAAGAGTCGCCATGCCCCCTTACCAGAGGGACATTTGCACTTTTGTGCGTGGCGTCGGCTGTCAGTCAGCTGAATTTGTTCAGCTAAATGAGCGTCGTGAGCAGTATGACCTCATTGTGAGAACTGTGCTCACCGTAGTGTATTGACATGGGAAAAAAAACACAATTTATTTTGGTGTCCATGGGAAGCGACTGTAAACATTCCATGTGGAATGTGGAACGGCCATCAATGAGTGACACCACAGCTCCATTCATGCCGCAAGCCCGAAAGCTGTGTTTGCGACCACCTATGCAGCCGTCCGGTGTTATTAAAACAGATATTGCACAAGGAATGGTATCAAAGGTACAATCGGAGTGGTGCACAAACATTGCATGCCGAGAATCTAGATGCTGTGACTCCCACTGGTATGGCTTCCAAAGCACATGGCCCTCCCCGCCTCACTCATTCCCACGCATGTTTTTTTCCCAGTGAAGAACCCACGTCATAACGAATGGGTGCCTTGAGGCTACTGCTCAGCCCATGCAGATAACCTGCCGAGTGTGCCCGGATGGTCAGTGCCCGTTGCTTTGCTGTTGGGTGCTTGGCTTCGCATGCTTTGACCTCGGAGCACCCTCGTTCGTGTGAGTCAGCGGGATTGTCATTAGCTTCATTGTCTGCGAATGTCTAATTTTAGCGGGCTCTACTCTAAAAGCAAAAGCAGTCCACATTTTAATATGAGCAGCTCTGTATTTTGGTCAGAACCTCTTGGTCTGGCTGAATGTGTCTGGGAGATATGCATTACTTGTAATTAAATATATGCTCATCACAAGAGCGCGATTGACTTAAACTTTTAAAGGATTGTTTTTGTTTCATTTGTATGTACAGTAGCGTACTCGGTAACTGGAACTAAATTCATTAGCCACCGGCAAAGAGCCTAAAGCACCTCGTTCGCATGAGTGCACTATTTTTAATCTCATAATTCTACGAGGATTTATCAACCCAGACAATGTTTTCACAATCGCGATTGCAGTTATTGGCACATCCGCTGCGACTATAGTTATTACTTTGACAGTGGCACACGCTGTTTGCTGTCGACAGAAGCAGCAGCAGCAGGAAAAAACAGGAGCAGCAGTAGAAACAGCTGCAGCAGCAGAAACAGCAGGAGCAGAGGGTTAACGGCCAGAGGCACGCTGAGGCTGCTCACTTGCCTGGCTGCACCTGCACTAAAGTGAATACGGATTGAGATTCTGCGTCACCTCTCTGCTTGCTGTCATGTCGCAAGAGATGCCTGTGATGCAGCGAGGCTCTTGAAATGGGTTTTGATTGCTGGAGGAGGTGTGGACAAGAGAGTGTATCATGTCACTGGAATAACTTGGGAGGCAGCTTGCATGGTCTTTTGGCATTGTTTTTTTCAATATATTTCCAGTAAAAAAATTAGCATACTTTTCAGAGATGGTGTCACAAACACGAGATGTTATTTAATCATTTTTTTATTGAGCGAAAACAGAGGTGGTTTTGATGGAGATCAAATGAGGGTGTGCTGTGCACAGATTCTGGGGTATGCACCATGGCCCTGTTCTCTGCTAAAATACACTCTTTGGGTGTTTCTGTGTGTATGCATGTGTGCGTGGTTCAGAGTACACTGGCCATGGATAACATAAGTGGCAGGTTGTATCTGAATCTGTTATCTTTTCATGAGGATAATTGCAAATTATCGATTCATCGGTCTTGTTTGTCAGTGATAAAAAAAATAATGTGGCAAGCGTGCTTAGATTTACATTGAGAGACGGAAACGGGATCACAAGGATTATTTAGGAGGCTAAATACATGATTCTAATTGTTGTGAAAAGTCAGTGGGCTCGGGCAAGTGACGTTGCTAGAAGGGATGATGACCAATGGTCGAAAATAACGATGGAGTCGATATTCAGGGATGCAGCGTATCTGAGCAGACGTCAATCAAGGAGACGGGAGAGATGACATTTGCTCGTGTGTGGGTGCTCAGTGGTTCAATATATTGCAGGATTGAGAGAGATTGTGACGTCTTGGAGAGAACTTTCATCCAGCAGCAGATTCATCATGGCTGATGATGATTGCAAATGATGCGGTATTGAGTCTTGTGAGTGCTAAAACAGAAATGTGGTGATTGTGATTCTGGCACCACGAGTGTCAGTGTCGTCACACTCAATATGATTTGGGTACAGGAGGTCCATTTAAGCCCCACTTATTTCGATTTAATCTGAGCCAGACGACATTACTCGTGTCTGGCAAAGGGTGAGTCTTACCAGGTACGTAAAGTTCTCAGCTCACAAACAGCGCCTGCATAATGGGAAGTGTTTGTCTATGATTGTTTCACGTTGTTAAATTAAGAGACCGTTTTGAGGATCACTGAAGGCAAGTGCTTGAGTTTGGCAACACTGTGGATATGGATTCAGTGGTTCAGTTTCTATCGTGAATAAGATAGATTTTCTTTTATCAACCCTGTAAAGCTGGAAATCTCTTCCACGAACATAGCGACATCTGTACAGAAAATCTTCAGTTCTTAGGAATACAATCCTATTCGGTGCATGTGTGCTATACAATATCTGGCCAGCTGGCACTGTGGTTAAAGTGTACGCCTCCCAACCAGAAGATTGTTAGTTCAAATCCTGGTCAATTCGTTCCATCTGGGATCAATAAAATAAGTACCACTTTGTGGTTAAATCAACAGTCACCTAGCTTTACCTTTGAGTATGCCATGAAAATGTGGAGTTTCCACCGTTTGCTCAGGGTCTATTGACCGCCTGGACATCAACAGACTGACCTTTTGGAAAAAGGCAAAATATTTCACGTGACTTCTTGCATTTATAAAACACTCCTAAAGCTAAGCAGCTTCAGAAGTATTTGAACGCATGCCCCCCTCTTGTGGCTCGGCTGGTTCACGTGTGTGGACGCTGATTTACGGTGCAGCATAACCACGCACCTTGCGGGGGGCTTTGTTTCAGTTCACTATTTACGTCGTAGCTATGAACGATTGTATCATAGACTTGGTATTCTATTTAGTAAACGTATTACAGTACACAAAGAATAGTAACAGGGGAGTGGCAGCCAAGGAATCGAACACAGCCATACGCAGGTGCTGGTGGATTGTTCGATTTTGCCGAACAATGACTCATGATCATGGCATGGGGAGACCTTCATCAACCAGTGGATTTATCATGGCTGATGAGTATGTGACCCACAATTATAAGGTTGTGTGTTCCTATCCCGGAATGACCCCTGCCATAGGAAGATATAATTCTGACCGCAGACTCAGGACCATCACCACAAATGTGTACCTCTTGTTGTATTGTAGTTAGTGTATGCGCACATTTTATTGTTATTAAGAATAATACCTTTTATTTAGCCAGTTACACATCACTGAGTCTCACAAAAAAATTTAGGAGGGTCCTGCGTTGGGATGTTTGGCCAATTCCATGAATGCGTGTTTGATTTGTGGGAAGAAAGGATAGAAGCCAGAGAAAACCCACTCATACGTGAGGATAACACTCAAAGCTGTGTGCAGGTACATTCAAGTATGAATTGCTGTCCTGCCATCTCCACAACCACCTCACCGCCCACGTGTGTAACACAAAATCAGAGATTGTCTCCCACCAAACTACTATCCAGTTTCAACATTTTATGATGTGTTTCAAGGCTGTTTCGTTCCCGGTGCTAGGAGTTTTCAGCACATGGAGAAAAACGTCGGACATCGTGCAGAACAACACGTGGTCCAATACAAAAAAAACGCATGAGAGGGCTATACAGCACAGCTGTGAAAATCTACGAAGTAGACTTGAACATGCTTAGCCACAGAGATCTGATGAGATCATGAAAATTCCGGGTGATTTGGTAGTAGGCATGATGAATATGAGGTTGTGGTTGAGGAGCTATCTGTTTGTAAACTTCGAGCCCACGTGTTGTGTATGTAAATGCGCACCTACCCTGTGCTGTGCCTGCAGATACGCCATCGCAGACGAGGCGTACCGCTCCCTGCGGGACCACGACCGCGATCAGTGCATCCTCATCACAGGAGAAAGCGGAGCCGGCAAAACTGGTGAGCGACATGGTGGCGGGAGTTGGGGGGGGGGGTGCACAGAGGCAATCGATAATTTTTTATTATTATTATCAAGTAATCTATAAACCAAGAAAACAAACCAACCAGCCAGCCAATTAATCCCTCAACTAACCAACCAATCAGCTGATCACCCATTTAATAAAGCAATCATTTAATTATTTATTCAATCAATAAGTGGTTGTAAAACCAATAAATTATATATATAAACAATTTAATTATTTGCATTAATTGTTGAGTCACTAGATTAATCAAGGAGCTGATGAGTTCCAGAGTCTAATAGTGTGGGCACTAAGGAAGACGCGAAGCATTTCACGTGCCACTCTGGCAAGAAAACGCATTGGCACTCCCAGTCTCTATTTTCACCTCGAACGCCGCCCGTCACCCATGTGGAAATCTCTAAAACAAGGGAGGGGCACTTCCTGGTGATGAATGGAATGCCGAGCAAATTTTTTGTGGGAGTTTTTTTTTTGTTAAAGGTCGGAGGTGGTGCTGGGCCTCACCTGTGAATTGTTCCATTGTTGTGGTACCGGAGTGAGGCATCGAACCACTGCTCCCGATCCTCCGGGTGGGGTGGCACTCAGGTTCACCCCTGCGGTTTCCTGGGTTCCGTGGATGGGCGGAGCGCGCAAGCACGCCTTGCTCGCTGTCTGGGCTGCTGCTGCCGCCAGCAGTTCAACTTCTGGGCCCAACAAAAATACTCGTCTGTCAAAAACTGCAAGCATGTGGCCAGGACTCTGCAAGGCTAATTCATTATTCTGACTCCAACGCAGTAGCTCGTTTGCAGAACTCGCGGAAGACGAGCGGTATGCTGCGCTTCCATTTTACAAGTTGTCGTGTCGTGGAGAAACGTCTGAATTGTGACACAGTGGACTAACACTTTCCAGTGTAAGGCAAACCCAATGCAGGCTGCCTTATACGATTGACATCTCGTAAATTTAGGAACGCTTCGCCCTGCTGGGTTCATCAGAAATATTAAACACGAAGCCTTGTGCCGTCACAACTCAGGCTCGGTTATGTTTCATGAAGCCGTGGAATCTCACGTTATCTTCAGAGTGATGTTGTGGCTAATGCCTTCCATGTGTTTCCTTCAGTAAGTGCTCCTATTTATTCCGCCGCTCGTGATTTAGCCAAGTTATGCGGCCAAGCGTGCACCGGTTTTTCTCACACCAATAAACTCACAGAGAAAGGGAGCTCATATTTGAGGTTCTGAAAAACACCCTAAGTGTAGCTTGTGTTGAGCACCAACACTGTCGTTAATTCTCTCGTAGATCCACATACGCTCCTTTCCCATTCTTGGGAAGAGGCTCACAGTCAGTTAGTTCTGCCTCCAAAATACTGCATCGTCATTCCCTGGACTTTACTCCGGTCCCACGTCAATTGAAACCAGTTTCCAAACCCCATTCTCATTTATGTCGATCGAGTGGAATTTATCAATCAATCAAGCAATCTTTATTTTGCGTGCCAATATCTCCCTCACTAAAGTAGGCATCAGTGCACATCACAACGGAATGGGAATGGTGCACGGGGCATGGAGCAGCAGGAATGAAAAAAGAGAAACCCATCATGCCCTCAGTGGCCAACACCGACTGAGCAAAGTAAATTGCAACCACGTGGAAAATAAAGTGCAACTGTGCGCAACACATATTTAGTTATTTTGTTATTGGTTACTTCATCGTCGTCATCGCCAGGCATTTTCTATCCACTACTGGATGAAGACATCCTGTTGTAGGTGAACCAGGATCAGAATGGTGAATTAAAGAAGCAAACAAGCGTCTTCATCTTGTGTTGACCTCTTACGTGAAGCTCCCAGAGGCAGGTTGCAGCAGTGAAAATTGATGACTGTTCTGTACTGGTGAGTCCTACTAAGGACCAAACCAATCTACATGTGGTTCTTTAAATATGTAAATGGGGAGAGAAAACCCCCATCGTAACAGAGTAACCATGCAGGTTGGAACACCATGAGTTTCGAAAAAGACTCAAATATGTACTAAAGCACACCGCCATTTGTGCATATGCAAAAATACAGCGGCACTTCCTGAACAATGCCCTTCTTCACAATAGCTGTGGGCTTTTTACACGTTTTTGTGTCTTGTCTGAAAGTTGAGTCTTCGTTTTGCTGCTGTCTGTCTGTCCACATGTTTTCCCAATTTATTGAGTTGGTGATCTCAGAGAAAAATGGTCACAATGCAGTTCTTATGAACTAGTGGTCTGCGTAAGGCTGAGAGCTTTTGTACATGCATTTCACATATTCTTTGGGTCTTTCGGTAAAGTCACGTAGATAGGTTCAAAGAAAATAACAGAAAACGACGACGTTTCAATCGCAACACAAGCGGTCGTGTTGCGATCGAAACGTCGAAGTTTTTTGTTATTTTCTTTGAAGCTATCTACGTGACTTTACCAAAAGACCCAAAGAATATGAATTCCTGCAGTCACGAAAGCTTTAAGTCAAGATTTATTCATTGCACATCTTTGTTGTTAAATATACCTCGTGTGTGGTAAAAATAAAAAAATAAGTCCTATGTTTGATCTGCATGCAGGATGTCACATGAACACATTTAACATTTTCCAAATAAATAAAATGATTACATTTATAATAACCGAATGAAAATGACTGAGCTCCTTGAATCTAATGAACCAGACAGCAAACCAATATTCTCAGATGTGATTGACATTGAGTAATTGGGCTGCGGGTCATGGTTGTTGTGAGTGAACCTGACTGCACGCGCCTCTGTCTCTGTGTGTCTTTGCCTTTCGTTTTGTACATGGCGCTACAGAGGCCAGCAAGCTGGTCATGTCATACGTGGCTGCCGTGTGCGGGAAGGGCTCCGAGGTGACGAAGGTGAAGGAGCAGCTACTCCAGTCGAACCCAGTTCTGGAAGGTGATGCATGGATATGTGTGGAGTGCCGTGGAACCTCGTAAAGACATCTTGAGCTGCCAGCAGTGACAATAAGCAGTGAATATGCCTCCACGCGAGAGATGGGATCTCATTTAGAAAATTACATGGCTGGAGATGAAATGGACACCATTCTCTTACGAGACAAGCTTCATGTGGGTCGTAGAAAATTGAGCAGAAAGTGCCCTTTCTCCCACCTCGTCTGATGCTTCCCCACTGCTCTATTTTCACCCGCAGTTCCTCACCAGCTAGGCCTGAATCGCATCCAAAACTCGAGAGGAGAGGGAACCCAGTTTATAAACTTCTCCGTTTGGTTAAATGCATCGTTTTGATCATTTTCATTATGTTTTGCACAATATCTAAAAATGTTGTTTTTCTGAGTTCCCACATTCGTGCATGTGATTTGCATTTTAAAGCTGGGTGCATGTACGTGCGTGTGTGCACATTCGCAGCTTTCGGGAATGCCAAGACCATCAGAAATGACAATTCGTCACGTTTTGTGAGTGTGTTTCTCCTCTACACTTGATTGCTTGAGCCAATTTATTGATCTGATTGTTCACACGAGGGCCACACACGTTGGGCTATTTCTGCCCGTAGGGAAGGATTGTAAAAAAATGCGTATACAGTTTTTTCCATCTGTCGGACTGCCAGGAGCCGTGGCACCAGTAGCTTCAGTTTTCTAGTGGAGGCAGTTCAGTCTACACTGGTTTATTTATGTGAAGTCTGGTAATTCGACAAACATATACATGTTGTAATGATGGTGTCCATGCTGCTTGGAAGCCCCCACAGACAGTGTTGTGGATGCCGACACAGAGCCCTTGCTGCTGCCACACACAGAGCACCTGGTGGTGCCAATATTTTACTGTGTGTATCCTAACGGTCATACTGTACATTACTTACATTAAATCGCTGATCAGCTGTTTGCAAATATGGAAGAGCAGATAACATGGTGCATGGAGAGTTAAATAAGAGTATCAACTGAAAACGACCCAAAAGCATATCTAACTTTGTCTCAAACAGAAATACGTAATTGTAAAGCCAATGCATATTTAGGAACCATTTCACCGGCTCGTATTCTTCTGTTTAAGTAAAGCCATGTTGATGGGACTTCGTGCTTGATGGGTGATGGTGAGTTATTGTGCTGCTCTTGATGAATCGGTTCAATTCACGTCGTAACGGCGTTTGCTGCTCTCGCAGGGAAAGTACATGGACATCGAGTTTGACTTCAAAGGAGACCCTCTCGGAGGCGTCATCAGCAACTGTGAGTCTTGCGCTACTTCGCGAACCCATTTATTGTTTGTGTTCTTCTCTGAGGGATATCTCTGTGGTCTCCATGGCGCAGACTCCCACAGGAGAGAATCTAAATCTGTATTTATCTTGGAGAAATCCGATGAGCTGTGAATCTCCTTTTCACAGATGTTCAGTCGGAAAGATGTGATTGCAGTGAATGGAGAGGTCAATGTGTGTGCAGCATTTGAATGGAGTGGTTGGAGAATAAATAGACATCGCTCACTTCTCAGGCACCTTAGAAGACAAGCTTCGTGTTGATCAAGGGAACAAAGAGCAGAAAGTGCCCTCCTCTGCAGACTCACCTGATGCTTCCCCTGCCGCTTTAGTTTAATCTGAATGTTGTTCATGTGAACCATGCAGGGAGGGGTCAATGGTTTTGGATGGAGGAGATTGCATAAGGACACATAGAAACCATGACTCCTGCATTCACACACGTGTATATATGTGTATATATGCATGTTCAGATTTATTATTCAGAGGCAAATATTCCTCCCCACATTTGTGGGATTGTATTTCGTGTCCGCATTAAGAGACGCGTCGTTTTGTTTGAGCTGGCACCCTTCAGTACAGAGCATGGAAATGTAACAGGCGGGGTACTCGTTGCGTACATTTTTGGACGTATTTTTTTACCACGGTTGTTTTCGGAAGTTTCCAAGGTACGTGGATTTTTTAAGAGTTACTTTAGTTTATATATTTATAACATATTTAACAATCCCAGAGTTAAATGTAGCATTCCGAGCAGCCCTACCCCGGGGCAATTAAACCTGTCCTTGCTTCGCAGGGTGAGGAGGGAAGTTGGCTTGGCACATGCAAGCCCTGGTCCAAATATAACCAAACTGACACAGCATCTGGGGAAGCTCTAAATCCGTCAGGTTATTGTCAGCTCAGTTCTCATTTTTTTGTATTATGAAACAATGAAAACCTGTGTTTAAATTCATGCTGTGCCACTGCGGATACTTGCTTGCTAACAAGGGACCGTCTTTCAAAATAATTTTGAAAAACCAGTTGTGCGAGTTGAGTTTTTTGTGCACAGGCACAGTAGGTGGGATTTTGTAAATTTCAGAGACAAAATCAGGACATGCTCCCCCACCACCCAGCCATTCGTAACCGAGGCATAAGTTCATTTTACTGTCCTGTGCATTGCAGCAGGACAGTTTAGCGAGAGTAATGAGTAATGAGCTTAACTTGACAGTAGCATCAGTTCTCTCAAAGACCTGCTGGGTTTACAGCAGTGTTTTTTTTTCTTCCAATGTTTGGCTGCTCTTATGCAGTGTGCTATTTTGCACGCTGTGCCTGCACACTATGTGAGGTTGTTTATGTACATATATTCACTTATATTAGGAGACGCTCAACCTCTCTAGGGGGTCACTAGATTGGTCACTATATTAATCACAAGGTTGATTTAAATTGTGACTATCCTCATCACTGCATGGAAGGCGATGAATCATTACACTTCTGTTATCCATGACTGGGACTTGAAACCAGGTTACCCTTTTTATACATGCACAGGTATGTGCACATCGACGCATGGGTGATTATAAAACCAAGCTTCCATAGCAGGGTTGAGGAACCGGAATGTGCTTTGCTTCGGAACATAACGTGAAGCTAGGTTTCACACTTATGTCCTCAATGAGGTCCAGGGCAGGCTCTCATCATATAAAAATCAGGATAGTATGCCGTGACTACTTTATATTCATTGCAATTATCTTCACACGTAGCTGCTTGATTAGGCGTTGTGTTTATTATTATTATTATTTAGCTTGTTTACCCTGGAAAGACTGACTGAGTTTCATGACTCTTTCAGGAAAGTCTTGCCAAAATGTAGCAGTCGGGGGTGATGATTGCTATGTATTATCCCAGTTGTGTATTTTGAAGGTACATTTTTTTATTTCTTTAATTTGGACCATAACGTCGGCCCACAGTGGCCTTCTCTTGTGAATGACATCATGTGATCTTAAACGTCCACCGTGAATCAAACGGCACGTATTTTTAAGATTAATACACCCACAGTATTAATCAGGGTGGCTGCTGGTTTCGAACCATGAACCTCTGTAACAAGCGGCTATTGCGCGACTGCTCTAAATTACATCGTGAGGCACCGGGCAGAGCTGAGACACGTTATGTATGTTTGTATATATGTTGAACTTCTTTCGTAACATACGTAGCCAAAACATAGTAATCAGACGTGGGTATTCGCGTCTCTGTGCATGTGCTCGAGTTAAAAAAAAATAAAGACATCGTTCAGCACCATGCATTTTATGACGACTGCCCCTAGGAGGGCCTTTAATAGAAATCCTGACAGGTACTTGGCTTGATAAGTTGAACATTATGATTTCTATGGCAACATGGAATGGATTTTTTTGGTACTCAACACTGTCCATGGTGCGGCAGGATCTTCCAGGGGTTTGAGGGATGTGTGTCATTGCAGTGCAGTCTACCCGGCATTAATGTGAGAATAGCCTTGCTGCAGCTGAGTGGCCTGAAGGTGGTTTATTTTAGTGCTGCCTCTATAAATATGAGCATCTGCTCCTGGGAAGCTGGTGCAGGAAAGGGCTATTTTTTCTGGCAATGCTGCCGTGGGTCAGGTAGGTGATTGGTGTTTTTTAAAAATTATTGCTCTAAATATATGGAACGTTTTGGAACAGCCTTCATCTGGAAAGGGTTATTTGAGAAGACTTATTTGGGAAAATGTAGGTATTTATATCTTGAGCTTTTCATGTCTTAAACATGACAAAAATAGTTTAACACTCATGAAAATACATACGACGTCAACATTCTTTCGAATATTTGATATCCCAGATATTGTATGTGGGCAGACATAGTGATGCCAATAGTGATATTCATAATATTAAGTTCCTTAGCAATGTGACGTTTTCAACTTCATTTTGCTTTTGTGTAGTCATTTCGCTGCTTCCACAACCATCATCCTGCTCCTTACCCTGCCCTACCTCACTGCTCATGACCCCTTCCCTTGCCCCACTCAGTCCCCGCAGTAACACAGTGCATGCTTGGCATGCACGGGCACAGGAATCAGTTGTGAAATGCATGGGGCTGATATCAGTAGTGGCATAGCTTTATTTCAACATTAGCCTTGCACCTGCTTGTATCAGTGTCCTCACTCTTAACCCCTTCCCCCACGCAGACCTCCTGGAGAAGTCACGAGTGGTGGGTCAGGCGCGCGGCGAGAGAAACTTCCACATCTTCTACCAGCTCCTGGCTGGAGCCTCGCCTCATTTGCTGGGTGCGTGCCACAAACGCCACGTCGATATCCACGAGACACGACCATCGCCCACCACCGATCCAACACCACATCCCACCACCCGCCCACACGGCTCAACCTCAATGACACTTTACGTTGGCCTCTGCCGGTTGGCGTGAGCAAGCCAGATCAAATCTAAGTGCATCATGTTTTTGCCAAACAGTAGCCTTCAAATGTAAGCGGCCCTCAACAATTTACACATTTACCCAATTATTAGATTTACTCAGCATCAGTTTAACTTGCTGTTGAAACATCTGTACTGAGCACCAAGGTCGTTGAGCTCCCTAAACCAGAGTGGAAAGGTGGGTGTGGGAATGTGGGTGGAGGAGAGCGTCTGAGTGAGATTGTCACGCGAGCGAGACGATGTGTGTGAGTGGCGGGCAAATGAGTGGATGAGCATGAGGGCATGTGCGTGAGAGTGTGAAGATTGTGTGGCCTCTAATTTGACACCTTGACACCTCCACCATTGCTCAGGATTAATTCTAATAGACTGATTGTTTGCTGCGATGCATACTGTCTCCAACAGCCATTATTTAGGATGCATAATTTATCTTCCTTTTGTCAAATTGCTCAACATTGGCATTGAATGCCATAATTTATTTTCCAAAGGAACAACGTTCTTAACTGCTGCAATCATATTCATGCTCTTAATTGCTGGTAACTTTATATTATTGGCCACTGGGCCTGTGCTCAGCATCCAAAAATGAAAACAACGAAGAAAGGCCATGCACGTGCATGGATTCTGTATCGGAGGAAGTATTTAATGAGTGATAATATCATAACGTAACGAGCTCATGTGGAGGCGAGGTTGTGCACGGTGTGTGATGTTATGACCTTGGCCATATTAGCGTATCAATTTAGCATTGCTATTGTATCGCCAAGTTATTTTAAACTCTTTAATTAAGTTAGCCGGTTTTCCAACCTGTACGTCCCTAATAGCATCATGAACATATTTTTAAATAAGCTTATTTTTACAAGAGTTAAGGCTGACACCTGTTCCAGACAGACAGAGCTAATGCATAAACACTTTCGACCACTATTGAGTCGTATGACAAGCCAACACGGTGGCATGTAGCATAGTATCGACAAGGCTCGTTGATTGCAACTCACTATGCTACAGGACGTCTGCCAAAAACATTACCAAGCTGCAGCATGTACAAACTTATTTGGCACGTGTCGTGACGGCTACTAAAATATCCATCCAGTGCTCGCTGAGCTGCATTGTCTTCCGGTTGCTGAATGAATACATTATAAGGTCGAACCATTACACACAAAGTGCTTGCTGAAAAATCGACCACAATACTTTGCTGATCTCATCAAGGAACATAAACCATCATGAAAACTCCGGTCATCCTCGCAGCGGCTTTTGTCTGGCCATCAAACAAGGACGGTCACTTCAGTGTGTGCTTTCGGATGCACTTCTGCGGCCATCTGTAATGCTCTTCCTTCTGATATTATCAAGCCACTGGAGCTATGCACTTTTCAATTAAGATTGAAAACTCATTTCTTTAAAACAGCTTTTTGTGTTAAGTTTGTTGTCCTTCCCCCGCAACTCTGATTAGCATGGTTGGCTACGTGCGGTGCGAAAGAAGTTCCACAAATGCATATACATTCAACATTAGTCATGTTGCGTTAAAGCTGCCATTCCCACTACGTTTGGTGCAGAGCGACTGAAGCTGCAGCGCGACGTGGCAACGTACAGCTACCTGATGCAGAAGGACAGCGCCCACGTGCCAGGCATGGATGACGCCTCGGTGTTCCAGACGACGCAGGTGAGGGCGAGGTGGGAGCGATGGGAGGTGACCGTGTGGGCCAGTGGTGCGAGAGAAATGCTGTGTGTATGTTGCATGTATGTATGTTGAACTTTTTGTTGCACTGTACGTAGCCAACCGTGTTAATCGGAGGTGCGGGGTGTACATGAGAAACCTCCGAGACCCTAATGCTGCTTGGGTGGCATTCTTGCCGTGGCTACTCTGTGCTGCAGGAATATGGCTGTGAGAGATCAACGACTGATCGTGAGTGCGTACGGTCGGGGCTTTTATATATGTGTCAGTCTGTGACCCGTTTGTAAATTGGCCCTACATTCAAATAACCTACACAGCAGTCATCTACAGATTCCAGAATGAAATGTGGTAGTGCTGTTGGTCATTTGCCATGCGGTACAACTCCATCATGGCAGAGACTAATTGAGCATGGCAAAGACTAATTGAGCATGTGAACTTCGCTGTTACATTTTTTTGTCTACATCCTGATCCCTTTTTGCGTGGCACTATGGCATTGTGAGCTCTCCGACACCTCGTCCTCCTGATTATCTAGCTGCTCATCCTCTTCTTCTTGATCCTCCACCTCCTGGTCTTCCTCCTGGTCCTGAATCTCATCCTCCTTATTCTCTTCATAGACCTCCTCCTGGTCTTCCCCCACTCGGTCCTTCTTCTGATCCTCCCCGTTCCTCCTGATTTTCCTGGTCCTTCTGGTTGCTGAAAACTTCTTTACAATCCCCAACAGTCCCACACTCCCTCCGACCCCTCCAATCCTTTGGATTATCATTCGGTTTCCAACCATTCCTTCCCCCGCACCTCCGATTAGCATATTAACTTAGCTCCGAATGCATTTTTGCCATATACCCTGTGTTGTTCGGCACGATATCTGACGTTTCACTCCACGTGTTGGGAGTGTCTTCTGCAGGCATGTTGAGCGGTGCGTCCGACATTATGCCAAACAAGACGCAGTACAATCTGAAATCACATCAGAGAGAAAAACAACACAACCGCAAAACCTACACATTCATGTTATATATGTTAAATTGCCAACAGTGCTTCACAAATAACATTCATTATCAACACCAGTTGCAATGCTACAGCCAAACGCTGCTGTAAAAATAACCAACAGTCGCATTGTCCACTCAAGTCAGGAGCGCACATTGAGGAATGCAGACAACAGGTTTATGTGTTGGGTCATGTTACTGAGAAGCAGGTTAGCGTTGTGAAAAATAGCTTCATAGCTCATAGCTCTAGCTCATCTATATACTGTATATAAAAGAGAAATTTGTGAATGTGTGTCTGTTTGAAATGTTTAGCATACTTACCGACATGCAACAAATTTGAAATCTGGCATGTGGGTAGTTTCCAGACTGTACACAAGGCAATAAGTATTAAAAAAATACTTTTGTATTTTGGGGGGCGGGGGGGGGGGGCAATAATGGATCACTTTGCACGCACGTGAGCGGTGACGTCACATCTGTGATGTCACCCGCATGCGGCAGTGTCCAAAACAAGACTCCAAGTCTCGGGCGAAGCCAGGTAGTAAAGCTAGTTCAGTATAAATAAATATTCTGATTCTGGTACACCTGACATTGAGACATTTATTTGATCCTTATGGCGGTACCCCGGAGTTCCAAATAATACACAATGGCCGAGGCAATGAAATATTTTATTTTGGGGACACTATTTTTTCCAGGGGTGTTACTTAACTTCACGACTGGGGTACCAATCAATCCGAAATCAGTGCTACTCTGCGAAACCCTGTAGTGCATCGTGTACAGCTCGTCGAGATGAGTCGATTGCCGCATCCCCGACCATCAACAGACCAAAAGTGACTGCATCACGGACATTATGCGAGAGCCGGGGACCTATGGTACCCTGGGGTACCGCCATAAGGTTCATTTCTCTGAAGAGAGAAGTCAGAGCAAGCCAGGAGCTCTGTGAGTTTCCTCACCGATACCTCGTGTGCACTCTCCGCACACCTTATTGTTTTTCTGCATTCCTTTTTCAAAGGATGTCTTAAATGCAGTTGTTGCTGAGGTTGGGTGAATTCTTTCCTTGATCGTCTTCCTGTCATTTGTCATTCGTATGTCACAAGACAAAGACATATGTCACACACATACCAACGTGTCAAGCCATTGTTAACCCGTGAAACTGATTTCGAGAGTAATGCTATTTCATAAATAAATCGTCGTCATCAAAATGAGCCACGATTGATCCAATGCTGGGTGAAGGCCTCCTCAACCTGTGGATATTTAGCATGGTCCCCTGATTCAATAGTTCATCTGCTTCCTGCACGAGAGCTGATTGCATCGCTCCACCTTTGCCGTGGTCATTTCCTGGCTGCCACTGTCATTATTCTTGACCATCTAGCGACGTGTTCTGCCCATGCCCACTTACTTTTCTGACAACAGATAATATATTTGTTTCTGACTTGCTAATGCTTTCTACTCCTCGTGCTCTTCATTGCATGTCATTGTAATTCCATGCACGTGCTTCTCCGTGGTTCTTGGCACACTCGTCAGCATTTATTCCATTTTCTATGTCAAGGTCGTTATTTCTGATCTGTGATCAATTTTTAAACACTTTCTTCTTTCGGCACATTGTTTTTTTTGTTGCATTTATAAGTTTAGTAACAAAAAACAAGCTCACTTACTCTTGTCCTCTTTATTTAATAATTTTGATCCTAGTCACATTTCAACAACTGCCCTGGATATACACACCTTGATGTATTTTCCAGTTGTGTCCCTCCAGCATATATCTTATGTTGTTACGTGAACTTGTACATGACTTTTATTTCATATTGAGCCCAACTTTGTGGCCTTCTTTATTCAGTTCTTCAATCATTTCCTGTGGCTAATTTCCGTTTGTTGTTACAATAGCTATATCATCAGCAAATCTGAGATGTTTCATATTTATTACGTGTACACTTTTGACTTTTTTTTTGTCTACAATCCAAGTTTTCGGAAAATATCTTCAAATGTCGTCTATGAATAACTTTGCTGAGAGAATGTCTACTTGGCTGATGACTCTTATCATATGTATCTTGTTACTTCGTTCCATAGATTTAACCAGGTAAGAGCCTTTTGAGATAAGCGTGTCAGACTCTGGGAATGTAAAACAAATGAAATGTCCAAAATGTATTGTTGAAGACATAACACTGTGGATGATGAAATCTACATTTTACGTAACATGACAAATACCGAAACACTTTATTTCTTATACTGTACTTTCAAATGTGTTTTTCCATACTGTAGTTGAAATGTGCACATCTCTGTGAAATCTGTAGCTTAACTGTCGCTAGAATATGACCAATCTATGCACTCTCAGAGGCAATTTATAAATGCCATAAAATATAACCTTGCCTCAGTGTATCCAAAGGTGTTATTTTCAGGAGGGCCCTTGTTTTTCCACCGCACCTCCGATTAGCACGGTTAGCTATGTATGGTGCACTAGAAGTTCAAAATACATACATTGGGAGCGTTTGACCAATACTATTGATGAGTATTTGTCACTGTGAAATAAATTATGTACAATGTACTCTTATAGACATGTTTACTGTAAAGGCAGCAGTGCTAAACCAGCTGGGATTAAATTAATTACTTGGATAACAGCGCCAGCTGCAAAACATAACCATAGTTTTTGCTGCTGAAATAAACACATGTTTGACAAAACACTTTCCGCCGCGCGAGCGAGAAGTGAATTTCACCTCAACAACAAATAACCACGGCTAGAGTTGCCACCTTTGAACAGCAGTCGGTCATCACCAGCTACTGGCTAAGCAGACTGAGATACACAGAGTTGTGATGGGGGCCGTGCGGCTGGAAGCCAGGACAAATGGGTACTTTCCCACGTTATCGAATGCGACTCGAGACAGGCTGCGATGCCGGAGATAAATGGCTTCGCTAAATTTAGGCTCTGGCATGAGGGGGGCCGTGGGCCGGGTGGTCCAGACTGCTCTTCCGCCACTTGCGCCCGCTACCCCTCTCGCTGTTGCCCTCCGCCCTTCGCAGAGGAACGCACGGTAAAATGTTCCGTCACGCTCCTTGCTTTCAAAACACTAGCACCAGACGTGTGTTTGATTAATAGTTGGCATTGAAAGATTTTTCATTGTCGCCACTCTTTGAGGGTCATTTTTTTTAGTCCACGTTTTTTTTTTCTCCACTTATAAAAATGTAATTCTGTTCGACTGCTAAGTCAATAAATACTACACGCAGCTTATATGTTGAAATGAGAGAGTGGCATTACGGAGGTCCCGCGTGGTTACGTTGAGATGCTGAAGGAGTTGCGATGGTTTCACTGCCTCTCCAAACGCCACGGTGGAAGTGCAGAGAGGTCTATCTCCCCTCTGCCGGCACAGACGTATTCTTCCTTTTGTTTTGCATGCTTGCTGGTTGCTTTCAGTGGTGGAAAAATACTGCTTCCCATGGCTGCAAAAACCGAGCCACTCTCCATTTGGCTGCGCTGATAAATGGGCACCTCCCACCAGCCCCACGGACGCTGGGGTCAAGGCTGTGTGAGGAAAGCTGTCTGCTCGAGCGTGATTGGGGGGGTATTTATAGGCCCAAGGCTCATGCAGCTCACCTTGCACCTGTGATGCAGGGTGTTAGTGCATAATAGACGCGAATATACCCAAACACTACAGTTTCCTTCTACTCCTGAAAACACTGGATGACGATTGGCCAATAACCCAAGAAGAACCTTCCTTGAAAACATGTGAGATTCAGCTCAGGCTTTCCTGGGCAAGAATAACGGTTATTATAACAGCCGCTCTTGTTTCCCAGCACCGATGCTGCTTTACTGCAAGTCAGCAACCGCTAATAAAGTCACACTCGTCCTCACCACCACTTCAGGGCGATCATGATGACCGTCACAAGCGGTCGGGTTTGAATGGCAGTTGTATGACCGGAGCGGAGGGGGGAAAGGGAAGAGGGTGCGATTTTGAACAAAAACAATGCAGCTGTGATGAGATACGGGGGCGTCTGATGCTGAGGATGTGCGTGGGTACGGACGAGTCGGCTTATGTCCACTCCCTCCGTGTGCTTCCCATGCGTCGTATGAACAAGCACTGCACGCTGCAATGTCTGGCTTGCTCCTCTGCCTCGCGGCCATGGGAGTGGCTCCACATGAGCAAAGTGAAACCCAACAGTTCATATGAATGGTTGCTACCTCTGAGGTATGCAAAACCAGGACATCTCATGGGAAGAAGAATAATATCTCACCGTAGAAGAAGAGGGGAGAACTACGTGCTAATGCACTGTCTTGGAGTGGTGTATTATTAGGCAACTGGCGGAAACTGGGATGTTAAATGTTCGCTGCAGATTTCCGAGGACATCTACCTGAAACAGAAGATGCTGCATGCGTGCTAACCAGGTGGCAATGCCCGTGTATAGATGCAGCAGCCTCCCTGCAGCTGCCCAGCTCACACGGCCCTTGTAGAGTGACAAGTGGCGCCGCGCGAGCCCCGCGCGTGACCTGCGTGGACCGTGCGATGACGAGCGCCGTGCCGTGCCCATCTGCAGAGAGCGATGCAGGTGATTGGATTCGAGGCGGGCGAGGTGAGCAACGTCCTGGAGGTGGTGGCCGCTGTGCTCAAGCTGGGCAACGTGCAGCTCTCGGGGACCGGGTGGGCCAACGGCGTCGAGCAAAACGGCGATACGACGACCGGCACGTCAGGTTGGTGGCAGCTCAGGATGGGGGAGGGTGGGGGGGGGGGTTACAGACGTTGTTCACACCTGGTGGGGTGTGATTTCTGTCCCGTCTAAAATGTAATAATCACACTCCAGAGGTATTGTAGGTATTCAATTGTTGCTGCTTCAGTGATCTTAGTAAATAACAGGCGCAGTTAAAATAAAAACGTGTTTCCCTTCACTGAGAGGAAGATTCTATTTTGACAATTCAGATGAATGAAGAGGGCCAGTTAGCCAAAACACATACTTCTTCCCGTTTTTATTGTTGCTCAACCAGTTTTTTTAGGGACAGAGCTATTGGAACTGACCACTGCATGTAGATAAGGGCTGGGTGGAGAAGATTGGTGAGAGTGCGATGTCTCAATGCAAATCCTTTCTTTCACGAAGTCACTTTAGTTGACGAGTTTTGAAAGGAATGAAAAAAATGAAACCTGTACAAAAAGTCATTTTCACTGTGCTCAACGAGCATGGGGCGACACTGATCTCCAATGGTGGTCTTGAGCTGTGCCACATTCCAAAGATGAAGATCTTTTTTTTGTTACCAAATAGATATACTGTATATATAAATTCTCCATTTGTCAGACAAGGGTAAACGTCTGCTAGCTTCAGCACTCTGGTTCCCTGTGATTCTACGCTTCACTGTGGCGCTCTTGGCCGCACTTGCTGCTGGCTGTGTACTCTCCTCACAGACTTGCTGGACGTCTCCTCTCTGCTGGGACTGCAGCCTTCAGTGCTGGGCCGGGCACTCACCACCCGCACCGTCGAGGCGAGACAGGAGAAGGTGTCAACGACGCTCAACCTAGCCCAGGTACAACTCATTTATCCATTTTCTATTGGCACATTTGAGCCGTGTCAGCACGGGGCCCTCGCAGTATAGGTGGGTTTCCACTGGCTTTTCTCCAAGCTGAGCCGGAACCAAACCGTGATACGCAGGCACACCAGACGTCTGAATCTGGCTCTGTATCGAGCCAGGCTGGAGGTCGGGTATAATGATGTATTAATTGCCTGTGACATCAGTCACGCAAATAAAACACGTAATGATGGAAAGCTGTAATCCAGTGCTCTGGAAGCAGGGTTTCTGAGACTCCTAAGCCCACTGCATTGTGAGTTAGCTGTAACATGACAGTTCAATGAATGGGTTCTTGACCCATCTATATGGACTATTGAGTGTTTTTCCTTTTGTATGTCTATGGGTTTTTTCCCGGGTATCCAGTTTCCTCCATCATGTAAAACACTTCTTAAAAATACATTTAACAAAAATCCCAATGAAGTAATCTCCTGAAAATACTTTTGAGTCTTGATCAGGATTTCCTGGATGACTTAAGGACATCCATTTACTTGTATTCACACTCATGCACTTGTGTGGGTGCTAGGGTAGCCACCTCTGATTGACAAAAAAACAGGACATATCATGCGAAGATTATCTCACAATACCAGAAAAGTGGAGAATCACGCATAAATGCACTCTCTTGAAAGAAGAAAAACTAATTGGACTTATGTCCAGGAATGAATTACAGATTTCCCACGACAGATGTATATATGTTGAACTTCTTTTTCACCATATGTAACCAACCATGCTAATCGGAGGTGCGGTGACAGCTAACTCGAAAAGAGGATGTTGGGAAGACATGTGGCAATCCTAGTAGGAGCGTGTTGTTGTGCACGCTTTCTTACGTTGCACGTGTCACTACACTAGGCGTACTACGCCCGGGACGCGCTCTGCAAGAACATGTACAGCCGGCTCTTCTCATGGGTCGTGAGCCGTATCAACAAGAGTATCAAGGTGCGCACTGTCCCCGGACACCCCTGCTATACCCCACCGCACGCCACTGAATTTTTCGGCCGAGCGCATTTACTCACCTCCAGTGTAATAACCGTGCTTCAAAGGAGGCCCCCTGCCAGGGATGCAGGGAGTACAATGCTCACTCCCCCCTCGGGTGCTGAGCACGTGAACATAGACCTCGGTACAAATGCAGGAGGTGCGAGAACACATGTTTAATGTAAATACTCAATGAAATGTCAACTGTTAAAAAATAAAATCTTAGTAATATGAGCTTCGTTCCCGAGGATATTGTGAGCATCGTATCAACTTTAATCGGGGACTGCTATGCAATCAGGCCTCTTATCACGTGTTTAATATTGTCAAGTGGCTGGGAAAGTGACTGCAAATCGTACATTGTAATTGGCCATTGGGTACCACTGATTGATTACACCTGTTTTATTTATATATACTGTTATATACATATAAAAACATGCATCGAAAAATAGTATCATATAATTGTACTCGGCAACAAAAGTGGCTGTCCCTCACAGAGAAAATGATCCAGTGTCCAAAAATTACATAAAATGTTTCTGTAACGTTCATTGAATTGTATCTTTCATTTGCAGGTGCAAAAGCACACCCAGAAGAAAGTGATGGGTGTGCTGGACATATATGGCTTCGAGATATTTGAGGTATGGTAACTTCATAGTGTAAATGAACCCGATGTGGTGTGACCCTATAATTTAAGTTTAAATCTGTTTCTTTTTTCACCTGTGCAAGCATATCTGGACAATTACAAAATGACAAAAAAAGTTTAAAACAGCACCGTTAAAATATAGAAGAAAAAATATATTTTAGAGCTACGATATGTCTGCCTACGTTATTATGAGATAGCGCCTTCTTCGTAAGTGGTTCCATGCCAACAGTGCCACGTGTTATTGCGCGAGGTGTGGTGAGATGTGATCGGCCACTACAGCTCGCCGTCTTACTCTCGCCCAAGGATCTCATCTTCACACACACGTAGAAACCATCACATGCACGTTACATAAAATGTTGAATGTGTCAGTCATAAAGTTAACGACTGTGTGGGCCTTTTAGCGTCATCTGGTCCAATCCATGTGAGACTAGGCTCAAAGAAAGCTGTCTCGGGTGTGGACCAATCAACTTCAAGGACAGTGCATATATTATCAGAGTTATGTTTTTTGTTTGCATTATGGCTGCAGGTATTGTGGTCTATGCAAACATGACTCCTTGTAAAAAAGTTGTCAGTTTTGTTGCCAGATAGAAGGGTAAAAAATAAAATAAACAATTATCATATTTTTTACTGGCAAATGAGGTTCCAATGGTGACTGTGTGGGCTTTTATTTAATTAAACTTGCATCCACTTAAGTAAAATGTGGGTCCATTTAACATCTCGCTGTTGTTGGTGAATATAATTGAAGACAAACTAGGGGTTGTTACTGCGTGTTGCACGAGTTAATCTACACGCATGGATGTGTTGTGATCCTAACCGATTATCCGTCTCACACCCCCTTGCCTGTGTGCAGTCCAACGTGAGTAACCTACGGCCACATGCATGCGTGTGCGCTATAAGCGTTTGTGTGTGCAGTGCTTTTCACTGTGTCCATGTGGAGACAATTCGTGCGTGTCTGCGTAGTCTAGGGTTGCCATCTCTGATGTACAAAATAACCAGGACTTATCATGGGAAGAAGAATGTCTCACAATACCAGAATAGGGAAGAACTACTTGTAAATGCATTGTCTTGAATGGTGCATTAATACGCCCACTGACAATACACATGCATTTAACATTGTGGGACAAATTACAGATTTCCCCCTGTAAAGCTATTTTAAAAAGATTATCCTGGGAAAACCAGGACAGGTGGCAACCCTAGTGTAGTTGTACACTGTGTGTTGTTTGCATGGTGTCGCAGTGGTTAGCATACTTCACTACAATCAGTGGTATCTGAATCTGACCTGGGTCTCTGTGACATCAAACCAATGAGTGCCTGGTTTGGTGTGAGCACTGGGAAACCCTAGATGGCCAGGTGTGGTGCTTGCCAATACCAGCCACTTGTGTGGCATGTACTATCATCAACATTTAATTTGTGTGCCTTGAATTTCACCTTCTTGAATTGTCTCCCAGGTCTTCCTTGGAAAAGAGACATTTGCCCAGTGGTTTGTTACCTACTTCTAACTAATGATTGGCTGTAGGATCTTTATAACAAATTCCTGCGGAGGGAGCTGGTAGGAACGTTGGGTTGCTCGGTCAATGGCCAGGGTTAACGGCGGCGTGGTGTATTCCGCAAATATGGCCGACTGTGAGGGCGGGCACAAGCCGGCGTGAGTAGGTTAAACGTTGAGTTTTATAAGGGCACCACAGGGTGACCAGCCCCTCCCCACCCAGCCTCACTCCTCCCACCGTCCACCCAGCCCCACCCTCCCCACCCAGCTCCTTCCCACCCTTCCCTCCCCACCCAGCCCCTCCTCACCCTCCCCACCCAGCCCCTCCCCACCCTCCCCTCTCCACCCAGCCCCACCCCTCCCATTTTTGAATGCACGACGGACGGACACAATAATCCCCTGTGGGCTGGTGTAACCAGGAGGTTCCTACCAGTAATAATGGCACTTGCTCATACAACTTGTACGACTTAGTGATGGAATGTTGTATCTGTGTGCGTAAGGTGTACAAATGTGCATGTGAACATGTTTAAATGCACGTGCGTGTTTTTTGCATGTGTGTGCACATTTTGATGGCACGCGTGCGTGTTTGTGCATGCGCGTGCTTGCACCTGTGCCTCTGCGTGCCGGGGCATAGGTGTGAACACGCGTGCGATCGCTGAGCTCCATCGCGACTTGGCTTCTCCCCTGCGGGAGGTGTGACCTCCGCAGTCGTGCGCGCGTGCGAGCGAGCGTGCGTGCGTGTGTGTGCGAGCGAGCGTGCGTGCGTGTGTGTGCGAGCGAGCGTGCGTGTGTGTGTGTGCGAGCGAGCGTGCGTGCGTGTGTGTGCGAGCGAGCGAGCGTGCGTGCGTGTGTGTGCGAGCGAGCGTGCGTGCGTGTGTGTGCGAGCGAGCGTGCGTGTGTGTGTGTGCGAGCGAGCGTGCGCGTGCGAGCGTGCGTGCGTGTGTGTGCGAGCGAGCGTGCGTGCGTGTGTGTGCGAGCGTGCGTGCGTGTGTGTGCGAGCGAGCGTGCGTGTGTGTGCGAGCGAGCGTGCGCGTGCGAGCGTGCGTGCGTGTGTGTGCGAGCGAGCGTGCGCGTGTGTGTGTGTGCGAGCGAGCGTGCGTGTGTGTGCGAGCGAGCGTGCGTGCGTGTGCGCATTCTGTCATCGCTTGCAGCCCTGCACGCTGCCTGCGGGTCGCCGTGCAGAGCCAGCGCGAGCTGCTCGAACTAAACAAAACTAACCCCTCGAAAGCCACCGCTGCTGCGTGCACTCACACGTGGTGCGGTTACATATGCTGACACGTGACGACCTATGTATGTATGTATGTTGAACTTATTTTGCACCGTACGTAGCCAACCGTGATAATCGGAGGTGTGGGGGAAGGACAACAAACTTAACACAAAAAGCAGTTCTAAAGAAATACATTTTCAATCTAGTTTTATAAGTGCATAGCTCCAGTGGCTTGCTAATGTCGGAAGGAAGAGCATTCCAGACGGCCACAGAAGTACATCTGAAACCACGCAATGCAATGACTGTCTTTGTTTGATGGCGATCCAAAAGCTGCTGCGGGAATGACCGGAGTTTGCGTGATGGTTTCTGCTCCTTGACGAGATCCTTAATGAGATTGTGCATTGGCTCAATCAATCTGAGTTTGACTGCATGATTACGCTGTTCTTGTTTAAGTGATGTGTCTGTGAGTGGCTGATTGCAGTGGTAGATGCGATGTGTGGTGCCTGTGAGGCTGCACAAAAGAGCGGAGGCTGTGTTGATTGGAAATGGCTCAACTCCATTCCTTCTAGATAAGGCCTCTCTCATTTGTCTACTCAGCTCAGCATTTAAATGTTAGAGAAGTAATAAAAGAAACTTTCATGAATAATTACATCGTACAGCTTGGATGTATATAGCATTAAAATCCTAAAGTGCCGCCCGACAATATCTCGACGTAATAATGCTTTGTCAATGCAGAGCAACCTCAGCTGAGTTGGAAGGCCTTTTCAGGAGGTTCCTGCGTACAATGTTTGGGCCAATTTTGAATGTTAATAATAAAACATTCACACATATATGCAAGTATGCATATGTTTAGCATTACTAGCATATTAAACACGAGGGAAATATATTAACATTTTGATGCAGGTATGAAGGTGTTTTTTTTATTCACGTAAACATAGCAAAAAAACAGACTAATGTTAATTTGTCGGCTGGTGCTGTGTACACCTTGTGCTGCAAAGGGACAGCTGCCAATGGGGGTCCCCTTGGCTAAAGCGGGGCATTGGAATGGTTGAAATGAGGTGCAATATCAAGCGCTTTGAGTTGCTGTGGTATTTAAGCGCCCTGTAAATGCAATGCTTTATCGTTTGTGATTTTAAGCGACACCAGCAAGGCTTTTGAAAGTGCTGTGGTCCATGCTCTCCGCTGCTCCGGGCAGTGGATATATGTGCGCGCGTACACATATGAGTTTCACACACACCTAACCCATCGGTGCCTCTTCCCTGTGCAGGACAACAGCTTTGAGCAATTCATCATCAACTACTGCAACGAGAAGCTGCAGCAGATCTTCATTGAGATGACGCTCAAGGAGGAGCAGGAGGAGTACGTGCGCGAGGTAAGTCATGAGAGGGACCAAGCACACACCAGGAGCATTTTCAGATTACACCTGCGGTATGTAGCAAAGTACTTAACGCATACATAGACAGCATGTGGTTACAGCAGCAAATAGAGCAAATCAATGATATTCTAATAAAAGTCAATAGTTACTCTGCATTCAAAACTGCTTGGTTGCCTGAGCCTGTTATGAATATTCCACATTTTTACGGCAGGAGCCAATATTGTTGAAAGGATTTTCCACAAATTGATGCTCAGTTTATCAATCCTGCATCAGGATTTGAACTTACGAGTTTCTAAATGTGAGTCAAAACTCTGCCGCAGCACCACGTGGCTGAAAATCAATGTTCCCTCTCAATTTCGTTTTTGTATGATATCGTGTTAGCACTGAAGTGCATCGAATATTTGACTTCGAGCGAGACTTCTCTTGGGATGTGTTCAGTATATTATGAAACGTTCTCCCACTGTGAAGCCGTCCCTATACACTTGAATGCTCACTAAGTACCGGGTGAGCCTCAAGTCTCTGTGACAATGGGCATTTTCCCAGCTCCACTGAAGGGAGTGAGGAATGGCGACCGGTTAAACAGACGTGCCTCACAATTGCTTTCTCATGCCACTGCTGGCGAAGGGGGTCTCCACCAGATGGAGCTCTAGAGAGCCCCTCCAGAGTATACTTGGCCTACTCTTCCATGCTGGCCAGACGTCTTGGAAGAGACAGGAGTACCCACATTTTACCCTACCACACACGACTTGCCGATATAACTATGGCGTGCCACTGGGTAGAACAGTGCGGGCCAGGAGATCAAATCGATCGGGTCACCATTACACCATGGAAGCAATCCCGAGGACTTGTTGACTCGACGATTACGCTTCAGTTGCTGCGACGATGCAAGATGGAGACTGCCGTGCTGTGACCCAAATTTACATGCGAGAGGTCTTCAGGGCTGGAGGTATAGGCGTCTTCGAGCGCGCTTACGGCGATTGATTGATTGAGCATTCAAACACGGCGGCTTTGAGGATTCAGCAATCGTGCCAAACGCACATCAACACATCAACTATGCATGAAGAACCCCCCCCCCCCCAGTCCACCAGCCCACCACCCCTATTGTCAAGTCCAAATGGCTTTTCGCGTCACACGCATTATCTACTTAAAATGACATGTTTTTTTCCAAATGGATTATTTATAAGGTGTGAAGCAGCCGTTGGACGTAGCCGTCAGGTCCCCAGGGCTCGCGGCGTTGCAGGTGCGTGGCGGTAGGCAGGCGCGCTGATCGCCCGCGTGTTCCACAGCAAACGGGGTGATGGCCACGCTCCTCGGCAAACTCGCCTCAATTCCTCACGCCCGTGGAGTTTAAATAAAAAAAAAAATTTGTTGACTTGTTCTCGTGGGGCCTTCAAAGAAACTAAAAAAAGAGGTAAAACGAAAGCCGCAGTCCTCTCAAAGGACCTGTTCCCGACGCCGACGGAGGACCTGCTGCCGAACGTAGCGATTTGAATCACATAATTGTTAACTAGTTTGGAATTCTGTTGACGATAACATATTCGATTTTTTTGCTGCGGATATTTTTGTCAATTTTAGTTTATAATATACATGTCACGGGTGTGCTAACGGTAGTATTTGGCACATGAGTAGCCTGAGCGTTAAAAAAAGGCGTAGAAACGAAGCGGAGTTGTGGCTTGTTTTTATTGTTTGGGAGTTCCCGAGGGCTCGGCAGGATGACAGATGGCGCTCTTTGCCAGGTTCCACCGTGGCTGTGATGAGCGATTGTTTACCTTCAAACGGCATAAATGCGCTGCTGCCTTGCTCAGTATTTTTCCAAAATATAAAGCGTTTGTACACTTTATAATACATTAAAGGGAAGCTACTGATTAATGAAATAAACTAAAATTAATTTAAAGGCCTTGAACACAATGGATCTAAAACGTTGTTGGATGAAATTGTGACTCTTAAATGGGGTTTGCCAAATTATTTGACACTCAATTAAAAAAAAACTACACTGAAGGAGATGTTCCTATTGTAGAGGATAATTGGTACATTGGGACAATAATCAATATTGCCTGCACAACATCACCTGGAATGAGCCCAATCTCATCAGATCTTGGAAGCTAAGCAAGGATGAGCCCGATTGTGCTTGGATGGGTGACCATCTCTGTGCATGAAAAGACAGTGTTTATAAACATTGTGAGCAGTGGAGGGGGGGCACAGGGTAACCCATTTCTCCGCATCCACCCCATCTTGGCCAATTACAATAGCCATTGCACTCTGCAAGGCTTGGGCAGGCCCTCACCAGCAGTGGATTGACAAAACTGGCTGTACATGTCCAATTAAAAAGGAGCTTGACAATAAAGACAATATGCTCATTTGATGAAGTCGCTATATTTAGCCTGACTATGTTAACTCCTAATTCTATAAAGTTGCTTCATTTAGATTCACTGTGTTAACGTCTCAATCCCCAGCGTCAGAACAAATGAGTTAGTTAAAAGGTGTTTATAATGCATGCCTTGGCACCAACGCAGCTGTGGTTTTCTGTGATAAGCGGAACATTTTTGGCCGTGGATTTTCCCACAGAGAGCGAACACAGACACGCACGGGGCATAGTGTTTGCAACACGTATTATTACTGCAGATATGATATCACTCTATCGTTCGGTGTCTAAGCTCACTGCCAGTGCCGCTGGCATCTGCTTTTTAACTTAAGCTGATCTGTCAGCAGGGGCTTAACAGAGCGTGTTTCAGGGAGACGCCGGGACTTTACCAAAGGATGCTGGATTATGGGAAAATGGGTGAAATTAACAAAGCCTGTGTGTGATTAAAAGAAAACCCTGTGGTCAGCAGGAAACCCCACACAAGGGTTCAGGATTTATTTTCACTGGGATTGAAGCCTAAATTAGAGCTGTGTGGGACAATCCGGCACTGCATTGCCCGCCCATCCCCCATTCCCTGTTTGATTCGTGTGTTTACCCGTCAGACCGTACCAAGCAGTGCCCAATCGGAGAGTATGAATCTCAATCAGAAGGTTGAGTTTCATTTCCAGTCAGGGGTTGAGTCAGCCAATATATTTCCTGGGAGAAACGAGGATTTTCCACCACCTGCTTAACAGCTTGCAGTGGTGATAAGCGCCGTTGCATGATTGTTTCAGCAGGCAGACACGACGACGTGACTTGATTGTCTGTATGTGCAGACCACTTTGGGATACCTCACTTGAGACCTGAACCATTCAGTACATGGAGCGACACAGCTCACCACAACTTCGAGTCTTGAGCCAGCTGAACCATGCCGTCCCATTTACACTCTATTTTATTCCCAAATATAACGATTTGAATGTTTTACGTTGAGCCTTTTTTGCCGACTGTGTTGTAGGGGACATCCGTGATGTACGAACAGAGCAACAACAATACAAAACCATCAACATTGTTGAGAGCAACAGCGTCCTTTCAGGATTATTTGGACAATTAAAAAAGGAGGTTTCTAGCGGTCGTGAATGAAACACACGCGAGTTATAACAGAGCGGGTGTAATGGAACAACGTTAGGTACATGTGTGCATATCTGTCAACCCCTTATCAGTGCCTACCTTATTACAGACCAATTCCGACCTTATTGGTCCCATCACAAGGGAGAAATACAAACAAATAGACAAAAAGAAAATTGCGAATATTGAAACGGCTGTATGCTGTATGGGCCTGACAACTCAATTACCCTGTACAAGAATACGGGTAACCCGTATGGGTTGACAGGGGTGATGTGCAAGTAAGCTCCATATTTTAGTCGAACAGTGACATAAACACACGCAAATTGAAACAAAAAAACAGCGCAGACGATATGCGGGAGCAAGAGGTGCGAGAAAAGTCAGGTGCTGGTGTAAGTATTCTCCGTGTTTTGGTTTCATGGGGAAGTTAAGAGGGGGGGCAGTGAAGGGAGAGACCCAAGCTGTAGATGAGCGGCAAGGATAATGCAGAAAGAGTGGATCAGCAATGCGGAAAGACTTTTTTTCCCTCAATTAATCGAAGTCATGCACGTTTGAACAACAACAACAAACAGTATTGGGGGGTGGGGGGGGAACACGTTGAAACGAATTTGAAAGAGATTCACACTGCCTTTGCTTGTTTGCTCCCTTACGACATTCTTTTATTCTCACTGGCAAGAGTGCGTGTGCCTCTCTGTGCGTCTCCATCTCCGCTAAGACTGGCCCTGTCTGTGTCTGTTTCCCCTTCTCCCTCGGAGTGTGCGATACTCAGTGGCCGCTGCTGCAGCTGCTTCTTCGCGTTCTCGTAAGAGCCTCCTCCCTCCACTCTTCTTCCTTCCCTCTTGAGTCACGATGCTGCTGCCTTCGCTGTCTGATCCCCGATGTGACTGCGTAGAATTTCGCGGTTGCGCTCGAGAGCTCTTCAATGTGTTCTTTTTTTGGTTCGTGCTGCGTCTTGTTCAGCGTGATGTACGGGACACCCTGCCGAGCAATATGCGTTAACATATCTTGACTTAAAGCTTTCGTGACTGCAAGAATTCATATTCTTTGGGTCTTTCGGTAAAGCCACGGAGATAGGTTCAAAGACTTCTTCTTCTTCTTCTTCCTAGCGTTGTTCCCGCTGTGGCGCAGGGTCCGCTTTTCGGCATTGTCTTCTCCATTTGGCTCGGTCCAGGGCATCTTCAGGGGATGCGTTGACCGTCTTCATGTCTTCCTTTATTCGGTCCATCCATCGCTTCTTCGGACGTCCGCGTGGACGGCGGCCCTCTGGCTCAATACGCACGGCAGTCTTGGCCATTGATGACTCTTCACTTCGCATCACATGGCCGTACCACCGAAGCCTTGCCTCAAGCATCTTGTCCGCAATGGGGGCCACACCAAGTCGCTTCCGAACGTCTTCGTTCCTGACACGATCCCATCGAGTGAGCCCGAGGCTCCATCTGAGCATCCTCATCTCCATGGTGTGGAGAGCTTGTTCGTGTACAGTTGTGGCTGGCCAGCACTCGGATCCATAGAGTGCCACCGGTCGGACGATGGTCTTGTATATTTTTCCCTTCAGCCTATCCGGCATTTTCCGATCCCTGACTCCACAGCGCCGGATTCAAAGACAATAACCAAAAATCTACGAGGATGACGATCGCTTGTGTTGTGATCAAAAAGTCGTAGTTTTTTTTGTTATTTTCTTTGAACCTACCTACGTGACTTTACCGAAAGATCCAAAGAATATGCGGTCACAATTCGAAATCGCGTCAGAGAGCCTGAATGCTGATCTCCAGCCGGCCTGCCGCAGCAGGAACGATTGGGCTGTCGTTGTGTCTCACGTCCAAATAATGAAATGCGTAAATGTCCATTAGGACAGCCTCCCTTATTGTGTCTCAATAAACATTTTTGGGAGTTTCGACCGATTTCAAATTTTATTATTTTTCGTGTGGTTTAAATCAGAGTACCCAGAGAAAAATCCAAACAATATATGGAGATAACATGTAAAAATCCATACATACAGACAAATATTCTTGCTCTACTGCTCTCTACTTGCAAACTCCTGACACTCAAGCTTGAAATTCGCATTCATATACTTGGCGATGTTTGCGTGATCCACCAATCCTGACTCCACAGCGCCGGATTACCAGACTGCGATCTTCTTTAGTAAGAACTCGCACTGTTTACTATCACCCTATTCGTACATCATTATGAAGATGTTTTCTCGTCACCTCTCTTCAGACCCAGTGTGGCGTTGGCAGCATTCCTCCATTTTTTTCAAATCTTGTCGTTCTGAGCTCTTGCCTCATCCAGCTGAAGCTAGTTTTGTGCGAGTATGTGCGGCTCGGTCTAACTTATGCTACGTTACTTAAGCATTGTTACTTAAGCATTGTCAAGAGCCCAAACAAGTCTTTACTATTCACCCTATCCAAGTGTATATGATTTGTAAACATGTTCCGTGGACAACATTGACACACGTTGACACAGGTGTTCGTTTCACATTTTTATTTTGTTTTGCCACACCTACATTGTTTTCATTGTTGAGTTGCCTCGTCGTTGGCGTCTCAATGAAGGGCATAATACGTGGACGCTGATGTTTGACACGCCACAAAAAATGAGGTCAAGACTGAGAAATACGTTTACAGACGTAATGTTTATTATGCTGCGTGTGTTTGTTTTTCTACAGGGGATTGAGTGGACACATGTGGAGTATTTTAACAATGCAATCATCTGCGACCTCATAGAAAACGTGAGTTCTACTGTGGATGTAATAATGGGGTGGAGCGGCAGCGTAGTGGCTTCCTGGGTTCAGTTTACAGCTACCTGGGTTCAACGACTAACATTAGCAAACAAATATCTGAACTAGCCCTGGACCTCCCCTAGGGCAACTCAGCCTTACATGAGTATTTGGTGGCATGTGTAAACCTCAGCACTGGGGAAACAAAGGCAGCCGTGCATGGTGTTGGCCACACCACCCTCTTCATGCACTATTTGACCTTCATAGGTACTGTACTTGCTACCAGCACTTGCTCCAACAGGCTGATAAAGGTTACAGGGGAATCTTCGTGTTTGTCTTTTGTCAATAATAACCGTGCTGACATTGGCTTTAGGGTCAGTGGAGACGAATTATCTGGGTGGGGCTATGCGTCATCCGTTGTCACGTGCCCGTACGACGTCCTCGCCAACTGTCGTGTACAATGCACAGGACCACAATGGTTGTCTTCAGAAACTGACAATGGGTTTAGCATAAAGCACAAAGGCTGTGTGCTTTTTACACGTTTTTGTTAGTTGTTTGAAACCCATGTTTGTGTTTTGGCCTGCACTATTTTTCTGTTATGATGGGTTTTGTTACTTATGGATTTAATTTCTGAATTCCAGCTGATTGTTAGGATGGCGCCACTGTGCATTTGTTCCCTGCCGAGTAGGCGTATAATCATTCACCACCACCACCACCACCCCCCAGTTATGCCATGGTTTTTTAATATTCAAGCACAGGTTCTCAGTCTGGTTTTAATTTTTAATTCTGGATCTCTTTATTTCTAATTTGTACAGATTTGTTCACTTCAATAGCCTGAACGTAACATGTGCATGTAATTCGGATAACATGGGAATATTTTATTCCTGACAACATGAACTGATGCGTGTTTGTTGATTTGATGTGTGTCCACTGCCTCGGGATACATTTGTTTTGTTATTGAATTATTTCATTTATTGCTTTTGAACTTGTCTGCTTAAAACAACTACATTTACTCACAGTGGTAGATAAAAAGTGCATTTGTCTAACAATACAGAGATTGTGGATTCAGTAAACACAGCAAGTTGGCACAAGGGGGAGCTCAGGTGGTGCATCCACTAGTCAGCCCATGGCGCATGGGTCTGTTCCATGACCAAGAGTGAGTTTACCTTTGTCGCTGCATATGGCCTCATAGTTTACTTGGCCTGGCACAAGCGCCGTTGTGATGTCGTTGCCACTCGTGCTAAGATTCCACGGCCCACTGTAAGTCAGTTTCGCGAATTAGGTTCCATGGGAACGCAGCATTCGTGGTAAATCGCAGATGTGATTGCTGCTGCTGTGAGCATGGACATGCCGCCCCAGCCCCAGACAGGCATCCTGGCTATGCTGGACGAGGAGTGTCTCCGTCCGGGCTCCGTGTCGGACCAGACGTTTCTGGACAAGCTGGGCTCCGTGTGCGCGCACCACTCCCACTTCCAGAGCCGCCTATGCAGCAACGCACGCTTCCTCAGCGACACGTCGCTGCCGCACGACTGCTTCCGCGTGCAGCACTACGCCGGCATCGTGAGCACGCACCCCTACCAATCACTTAGACCCCCGATACTGACAACTTGTGTCGTTAGCATTCAGACAGGCCGACGTAATGATTAATATGCAGGTCAAAGTGCAGCCCTGCAATTACTTTCTCACACTACTGCTGGTGGAAGGGCCTCCTCTAGGAGCTCACAAAAGCCATCTCAGCAGGTATTTGGCCTAGTCTTCCACGCTGGCAGACATCTTGTAGGTGGTAGAAGCACTCGCACTTTATTCCACCACACGATCGACTAACTGTGGTGTACCTCGTTACACTGCTGGGTGGGCAGAGGTGGGGGGATTTAAATTTGGCAATTTGTTCAGGAGATGGAATAAGATTGGTGACCTCTGGATTGTAAGTTCAGTGTTCTCACCATCACATCATGGCAGCATCCCACTACTCACAACAATGCCCCTCAGTTACCCAGGAGAGTCTCACTTCGTCTCAAGAATAATTATGGAAAGCCCCTGTGTTGGAATGTTTGGCCAATTCCATTCATGAGTGTTTGGCATGTGGGAGGAAACCGGAGTACCTGGAGAAAGCCCACATGTATGAGGGAGTAAAACATGAAACTGCACAGGGGTCACTTCAGTTCTTTGCTGTACCGCCATCTTATGGAAACTTCGATGTGCAAGATGTGTGTGTGTATGTCCAAATTGTCGAGCAGGTGACATATCGCGTGGAGGGCTTCGTGGACAAGAACAACGACCTGCTATTCCGAGACCTCTCCCAGGCCATGTGGGGGGCCCAACAGGAGCTGGTGCACAGCCTCTTCCCGGAAGGAGATCCAGCACGACCCAACCTCAAGCGGCCACCAACTGCCGGGACCCAGCTCAAGAGCTCCGTGGCATTCCTCATGCGGAACCTTCTCAGCAAGAACCCAAACTATATCCGGTCAGGGGGTCATACATAACCCTCTCCCTAGCATACGCACGTGCAATCCCAGCATCATGAGCATCAATGAATGGAGCCAGAGAAGTGTCCGGCTGATGGATGGACCACCATGCCTCCAGTGATGTAGGGAAGTTCTGTAGATGGATCTCTCAGTTAAGCTGCGGTCCTTAAGTTAAGTAAGGAGGTTATCATATTCTCTGGGGAAGATCTTAGGCTGGTGATGGGATTGTTGGTGAAGCCAAAACACCTGATATGTCGGCATTACAGGACACTGATGGATCCTCTGTGTCCTGGGACACTTTCCTCCTTGTGCAGGTGCATCAAACCCAATGACAAAAAGTCTCCGAACTTGTTCACCCCGGAGCTTGTGGGGCACCAGGTGCGCTACCTGGGGCTGCTGGAAAACGTCCGTGTGCGTCGTGCTGGATTCGCCTTCCGTCAGCTCTACGCCCCCTGCCTGCAGCGCTACAAGATGCTGTGTCCCAGCACCTGGCCCCACTGGAACGGCCATGCCAGGTCCGATTGTGCCACTGATCTTCTTACCCCTTCTTACCTCTTTAATTTCTCAAACACATCTCTTCGTCACTTGAGCATGTGGTGTCACACGTGGCAATGCATCGGAGGCGAAGTTGGCAATAGGCAGTATTCATTTTCTCAAGTAGAGTTTATGGATGCCCGTTTCTGTGTTTATCTCTGGTACACATGGCTTTGGTCTGGATACTGTTTTATCCTTCGAACTCCAAATTATGCATCAAGACATTAGCCAAGCATCTGAATGCTTGAGCCTCCTGACAACAATTTCAGGGACTCGGTGAGACTCTCCTGAGGACATAAATAACTATTATTATTGATCCTGGCAAAGTGGTAGTGCAGTGGTTCATGCACTGTGAATCCAGAAAACCCGAGTTTGAGTCCCTGTCATGTCTAACATCAGTGACAAGTGATGTCTGAAACGGTACTCAGCCCCACTTAGACCAACCAATAGTAATCAAGATGGTGAAGTCAAACAAAGGCGCCACGAGACATTGTGCAATGCACATAATAAGTGGAAATTATTATTAAAACAGTGGCTTGACAAAGGGCTGAAATTGAATGTTTTCTAATTGTTGCAGCAACTGTGTTTGCGGAGTGTGCGCATTGGTGCATTGTCGCTGTCATACTTGGCGTACCGTTCAGGGACGGCGTGGAGACGCTGCTGACAGAGTGCCATGTGCCACATGACGAGTTTGCCTACGGACGTACAAAGCTGTTTATCCGCAACCCACGCACGGTATGCACACGCCACACACACGTCACTGTAAAGATATCACCTACATGTACAGAACAAGATCAAATGTTAGTTAAAACATGATCTCATAGAGAACATGATGATCCATTGTATTGAGATATTTACACATTTGATATCCTGTAATTAATAATAAGCATAATTGTATTGTTTAAAGTACACTGTGATGCAAATTACTTGGGTTTCCATGATATAATTTCTACTGTACTATATAATTTCCAAGATTTGACGATTATCGCAATATCAGGTTCACATAATTGCGATTATACGTCACAATTTAATTGTACTTCGCTGTACTTCCAGTGCCGAAACGGATTGCTCTCTTTTGTGTTTTATGGTTGTATCGCGTGTTGTTTGGCATTGTCTGACATTTTGCTGCACGTACTGAAACCGTTTGCAGGAATAACATGCGGTACAATCCGAAAACACAATGTGGCACGATAGAAAACACCTACGCAGCAGTCAAAATTAAGATTACCCACACGTCCTTAAACTACAGTTCACTCAACCCATAAGCCTGCCTAGAGTATTTAAATAATCACAGCAGCACAGTTTATCATGCTTATAATGCACTACCATCAGCAACAGATAAATCATTCAATATTTAGATGATTTACAAGAATGATGAGGTCACATAACCACCATGCCATAATTTAGTCCAGCACAAATTTGCAAACAATTTATTTACAACTATTTTTGTTCTTGTTACTTCGTAAGTATTTTGTCAAGACATGAAATATGAAAAATAGATCAACTATGATGATGACAAATCAATACTTTACAAAACGGATGATGTCATTGCCGTGGAGCCTTTATAGTACGATATATTTAGAGTATCGCCTTACCATGGCAACCCTATATATGGCTGCATCTCGTAATATGCCAGTCTACCACAACTAGTGGCACAGGCCGCGTCTATAATAAGGTCTGTCATTGTATTAAAATATATCTGCATTTTGCAGAAACCTTCGTGAGTTTATTGAGTTTTTTTGGTGAAATCTCGTTCTGCTGTCTTTGTTATACGACTCTCCCAAACATTAATTGCAGCTGCCTCCTCACACACAGACACACTCTAAGTCACAATTATGTAACTCAAGCTGTTCCCACCAATCACGTGTAATAAACATTCCTGAGTATTTTTAGGAATGAAATACAAATTAAGAGGATTCGTAATTAAAGGTGGCAGACGCTCTTGTGTCAATGCAGGGGCGTTTCGAGAATAGTGGTTCATGAATTTGATGGGCTTTGTTAAATGTTACTGTATTGTTAGATGAATTTCGTTCAGGAAGGAGTTATTGTGTGCCATGCAGTTATCTGACTTAATCTTTAATACCTGGGTCTGTCCCATGACCTCCTGCCGATGAGCTTTCAACACTTCACATGGCCTAAAGTGCACCTAGCCTGGCACCAGCGCTGTGGTGACATCCCCGTCACTTACTGGCGAATGATGGCTGATGTTTTTCTATGCACGTGTATGTGTGTGTTTGCTTCCTTGTGCACGGCAGCTTTTTGCGCTTGAGGATGCACGCAAGCGGAGGATGGAGGACCTGGCCACACTTATCCAGAAGATGTTCCGTGGCTGGCGCTGCCGTACGCGCTACCTCCTCATGCGGAGCAGCCAGATCGTCATCTCCAGCCGTTACCGGGGATACTACGTGAGTTCCGTCCTGTCGCACGGCTTGCAGTGCATCTAGGCGTGACAAACCCTAAATAAAAAGCATAGGGGAGCCCAAGTAGCTCAGGGGGATCCAAAATCAGATAAACAATATTTGATCGGGGTGTATCCAAAATCAACTCTAATTCAGAGGCCATTAAAGGTAGAAAGCGAGCCATTCTAATGAGCTATTGCTTCATTTAATCTGGAGCAGTCTGGAATGCTGTTCTGGGAATTATTTTAGCACACCACATCCATTTCGCCTCACTTGATTCTCATTATACTTTATTTAGTTCTCCTATGATTATAGATACATACATGGGCGTAGTTTGCAGGGAGGGGGGTCACGGGGTGGGGTCAATTCCCTTTCCAAACTAGACACCTTTATTTATTTACAGAAGTTTACAATTAACATAAAACATTAATTAATTAATTATATGCACCTGCGATTCATAATGCGAGGGATGGCGCGAACCCCTGCCCCCCAAATTTAGAAGTCAAACTCCCCCTATCTATATATAGGGTGCAATAATATAAGATTATTATGGATAGGGGTACTATGTACTGTAGTCAAAGTGTCACCCACGAATCATCCTTACTCCAAGCCAGCCTAGAGGCATTGGAGACGAATATCAAGTCATGAATTAAGCTCCACTAATACCACAATAGAAAGTAGTTTAATATTATTGAGTCTATTATAACCATCCATCATTTCGCTATATTTCTACCCAGGGTATAAACCTTTGCATCTCACTGAAACTCTACTTTTTTGCCTAAACTTCTCCCATCTCACCACACACCTCTATCCCTTGTCTATATCTCTAGCGTCATCTCAATTTGAGTTCATAGATTGGGCGTGGGGGCCGTGAGACAAACAAATGATTTATTTATTGCCCCCAATGGACCAGCACCCACCACCACTTTGCACGGCGCTTGACAGGGCGACACCTAGGGGTGTAACAGTGCAAGTGTTGAAGCCTCAGTCACTCGGGGTGTAAACTTGCATTGATTAATCGACATTGACTCCGTAACTCACAATACATTTGTGGAATTGTGCGTTAAGAAACAATTCCTTTTTTTCCCGTTCGTATGTTTTGCGTATACTGTAACGGGTTCCCGTATTCACCACAATGTTTGATATGGCATGGATTATTCTGTTAATTTTCGACAGTTCATCGAGTCGCGAGGGGGCAAATTGTTACAGCCGTACCAGTCACTGTCAACGTCACTTGCTCGGTACATTTAGACCAACACAATGTGCGACAGCTGGTATTTTCTTTATCGGTGTCAAACCTCAAATAAAGTTCCCTTTGTGCTCAACCAGGACAGTCAAATATAGCGTTGGTGGGGAATTTTATTGCTGCCCATTACCATACTTTGACCTATGCAACATTCAAATAAAAACGGACTTATGCGTGGCCTGTAGTGTGGACGTGTGATGATGAAAGCTCATGGCCTCCTGCTGGTTAGAGTGACACTGATTTCCATAGCCATGCTCTATAGGTACGTGACGAGCGCATGGCTCAGTTGACTCTTGACAACTCTGTGCTCTATCAATGGTACCTCTTTGCCAGTATAAAAATTATGGGGGGAAAAAGATTTACCCTTTCTGGAAATAAAACAGGTGTTAAGATGTTCAAACACCAAATAAATCCCTATTACGAGGCATCAAGTCTGTATCAATCACACATTTGTGGCAAAACATGCAAACAAACATGCTCTGATAATATATGCATTGTCTTTGAAACTGATTGGCCCTGTCACACCGGTGTTAGACCAGAGAACGCCAAAAGGCGAACAGTACAAAGGCAATGCAAGTATCAAAGTATGATTAGCTCGAGTTGAGCAGTTGTATCTATTTTTTCAAAACTCTGTGCTGAACAATTACATATTTTTTGGCTGTTGAAATTGCCAACATGATGCAGCCTGCGTCGACCTGATTTAATCCAGTGAAGAGGATTCACTTTGTAATGTATCCAACGTGCAATGCGCCATGTTCTTGTGGTGGGTGTGTGCGCGTCTCACAGCAACACAAGCGGTACCAGCAGCAAAAGCAGGCGGCCACCACCATCGCCTCGTTCGCCCGCGGGACAAAGGTGAGACTTGATGTCGCTGGTTCCATGTGTGTGCATGCATGTCGGGGGGGGGGGGGGGGTTCTCGCTGTTTGTCCACCTGTCTGCATGCTGCTGAATTATCTTATCATAGTTGTGAGATGGAAATACCGATGATGATGCAGCACATGAATGAGCATGATACGACAGGTCCCATATAACAGAACCACACCCGTGGTTCTGTTATATGTGTGGTGCTTAAAATATATTTAGCTCCTTATAGTTGCTATTAAGCCTCAGATGTTTAGAATTAATGTGATTTGCATTCTGGAAATGTTAAGATATATTTCAAAACACATCTGATGATACCAATGGTGATAGCGATGATGATAAGCATGATGATGATTTTAAGGGTAGTCATCACGAATAAAACAGTGATGGTGGTGGTCAGAATGATAATAATGACGACACTTCATGAATGGCTCTTCTTCACCTAAGGCGAGACAACTTCTCAGACAGTTGAAGCACGAGAAGAAATGCAAGGACTCGGTCACCACAATCGCAGCTGGCTGGAGAGGCTACCAGGTGAGGGCTGGCGAACGCTAAACACGAGGCTCTTGAGGCAAAGCATGTGCAGCTACATTGGGGCCGCTTATACGGTCAGATTTGAGTGAATGTCTGCATCGTAACACAATTTACCGGGACACCGAGTGGTAACTGATTCACCTTGCTGTCTGTGCAGGTGCGTAAGGAGTACCGGAAGTTTTTCCGAGCCAATGCAGCCAAGAAGATCAGCAACTTCACCATGCAGGGAATAGTAAGTGTTAACCCACACAGATGGTACCGTCGTGAGTGCAGTGTTCCCATGTTTTATACCCTCTAGGTTTGATCCCCGAGTATACCAGGTGAACAGGACACAGATGCTGGGCTCCTGGTCTATATAGGCCGAGTAGCAACGTTTGTACTCTTCTGATATTTTATAAAAAGTTGCTGTTGTATCACTTGTATGGCTGACGGTAATGCTGTGCACATCATTGCAGTACACAGTAATATCGCGGCTTTCCGATGAACCTTGCATGTTGAAACATAAATGAAGCATCTTCATGCGCGCGCTGGTTAAATGTTAGTTCTTCTTGGTTCTTTCGGTAAAGTCACGTAGAAGGGAAGTAATAAAATAATAAAAATAAAACATAATAAAACAATTCTCACGACGTTTCGGCCACAACGCAAGCAGCCGTCCTCAGGTGAAAACCAGGTCCGTCGAGACGACAGAGTCTGAATGAAACAGCACACGGGCTTGGAGCATATATATAAGCTGGGCGCATTGACAAAGGAATTTGCATATCAACAGGAATTTAGCATATTTATGGGAAATGCAGGAATGTAATTAGTACTGCATATGCATGTGCATTATGCAGGATTAACAGCATCAAAGGGAGCTGTAGTTACTGCTGCTGCAGTAGTTGCTGCTGCTGCTGCAGTTTCTGCTGCTGCTGCAGTTGCTGCTGCTGCTGCAGTTGCTGCTGCTGCTGCACTTGCTGCTGCTGCTGCACTTGCTGCTGCTGCTGCACTTGCTGCTGCTGCTGCAGTTGCTGCCTTATCCATTTTAATATAACACTATGTATTATTCTACCCACCCTAATGTGTATCATACTGCTATATGTTTACTGTACAATTACGACACCATACATTACTCTGCACACTGCACCATGCCAGTGAGTGGAACGCGGTCTGAAAGTCACCGTTAACGTGAACACAATCAGTTAAGATCCGAAATGGTTTATTACGTCCTTCCAATGATTGCTAAGCCAGAATCCATCTTCTCGGTTGAAATTGTCTCTGTGTTTGTATATGTGGATCGCCTCATGAACGAATCTCTCATGATAGCCAGATGGCTTGCAGAGAACCTCTGTCTTGGAGAAGTCAATGTCATGTGAGCCCACTGAATTGTAACAGTGATCTGCCAGTGGGCTCACATGACATTGACTTCTCCAAGACAGAGGTTCTCTGCAAGCCATCTGGCTATCATGAGAGATTCGTTCATGAGGCGATCCACATATACAAACACAGAGACAATTTCAACCGAGAAGATGGATTCTGGCTTAGCAATCATTGGAAGGACGTAATAAACCATTTCGGATCTTAACTGATTGTGTTCACGTTAACGGTGACTTTCAGACCGCGTTCCACTCACTGGCATGGTGCAGTGTGCAGAGTAATGTATGGTGTCGTAATTGTACAGTAAACATATAGCAGTATGATACACATTAGGGTGGGTAGAATAATACATAGTGTTATATTGAAATGGATAAGGCAGCAACTGCAGCAGCAGCAGCAGCAGCAAGTGCAGCAGCAGCAGCAAGTGCAGCAGCAGCAAGTGCAGCAGCAGCAGCAACTGCAGCAGCAGCAGCAACTGCAGCAGCAGCAGAAACTGCAGCAGCAGCAGCAGTAACTACAGCTCCCTTTGATGCTGTTAATCCTGCATAATGCACATGCATATGCAGTACTAATTACATTCCTGCATTTCCCATAAATATGCTAAATTCCTGTTGATATGCAAATTCCTTTGTCAATGCGCCCAGCTTATATATATGCTCCAAGCCCGTGTGCTGTTTCATTCAGACTCTGTCGCCTCGACGGACCTGGTTTTCACCTGAGGACGGCTGCTTGCGTTGTGGCCGAAACGTCGTGAGAATTGTTTTATTATGTTTTATTTTTATTATTTTATTACTTCCCTTCTACGTGACTTTACCGAAAGAACCAAGAAGATGAATCCCTGCAGTCACGAAAGCTTTAAATCGAAATATAAATGTTAGTTGTTCCTCAGTTGATGAGAGTCAGAGACACAGTGCCCATTTGACTGAAAATATGTCGGCAAGAAAACCAATTACTGTAAGAAGCAATCAAAACGGCGGTGCACATTCTTTGTCTTCATCCCCATTTGAACTAGGTAAACAATAAATGTGTTTTCATAACCTTATTAAAATGTGCCTTGATTGTTTTTATTTTATACGGGCCAGCCCTCCCCCATTACCGTGGATAATTGAGAGTTGCCTTTATTGCTCTATCATAGTCTTATATTGATCGTGGGCTAAATTCCAAGTCAGAATAATGTGCTATCACCTTTATAACTTGAGGTCTGATCCCCTAGGTAGACAGACAAAGGGTTAATGGTGCCTCTTGGGCCAAGAAGGGCTCTTATGTCAGGAAATGTTAATGTGATCGGCCCAGAATCCATTAAAGTAAATAAATTTTATGATGAGGTCCCCAGAGGCTTATTTACAATCTGTGGGCGGATTGTTTGCAGCATTATCCTGCTTGGTCACCGATTGCACATCCAAGCGTGAAACTTCCTCTCTCCCCTACAGCTGTCTAGGTACTTCCTGGATCTGAAGGCTGCCCTGCCTTCCATGTCCCCCATAGACCAAAGCTGGCCGGACCCTCCCAAACGCTTCCTGGAACCCACGCACGCGCACCTGCGTCGCTTGCACCACCTGTGGCGGGTGAGTGATTACACTGCAGAACGAAGGTTGCCACCTCTTTTAAGGTACAAGGATCAGGATGTATCATGGGAAGAAACATATCTCTCAATCACATAAGAGGGGAGAACTACACGGAAGTGCATTGACTTTAGTGGTATATTATTACGACTTTTAACGTCCCAGGAAGACTTACAGGTTTCCCTGGATGACTACCTCAAAACCAGGACAATCAAGAGAAAGCCTGTATAGGTGGCAACCACATGTAGGTGGCTTGTATGGAAGGAGTCAGGGATGTGGAGTTTGCGATATGGGTAACGGACAAAGTCTGCTGCTGTGTGTGGCAACGCCTCCAGTCGAGTCTGTGAATAGTGCCGGCTATCAAGTGACGTCACCAACTGCCAGGCAGGGACCATCTTCATCACATGTAGTTGAACTGTAGTTAAGGAGAGATTTACACTGTTTATATATTGTTTAATAAGTCGAGGCTCCAGCAATTGTTGGGCTCGTTGGTTATTTTAATCTCACTGATAATATTTATGCAATAGAAGCATTTAACACCAACTGGCAAAATAATGTTTATAATGTGTGCAAACTGTTAATTCCAGCATGGGTGTGATTGACGCATATGGCCTATATTTGTATATTTCATTGTACTTGAGAAGATACATGTTCATGTGTGCGCTCGCTAACAGCACTTTCCCCAGCAGCCCTATTTAGACTATTCTTGGCGGGGGGGGGGGGTGTCTTTGATGTGTCTTTGTATTTGTATGTGCGTGTAACAATCTTCTCCTGTGGTGACAACGCAGTGCAAGGTGTATCGCTCGCGGCTCACCGAAACCCAGAAGGGCATTCTGGAGGAGAAGCTCTATGCCAGTGAGCTGTTCCGTTACAAGAAGGAGCTCTATCCACAGACGTGAGGAGTCACTCACTAAACATACCCCCACCCCCTCCTAAAAAAACAACACAACCCCCCACTCCGTGTGAGTGACTCTGCAACCTTACCCGGTCCTGTGCATCTCCCCCTTAATTCTAAAATTCTTTCACGAACATTCTAAACACACAAATCAAGCCACTGGATCTTGCGTGCCTCCTCTGTCCATACAAACATATCATTGCGTCTGCGTGTGCACCTATTGCAGCGGTAGCACAGTGGTTAGCGCTCTGAACTACGAATCCGGTGATTCAAGTTCCATTCCCACTCACGACCATTAACAGTAACGAATATCTGAACTGGACCTCCACTAGGTCGACTCAGCCTTATACACGAGTACCTGGTGGTGTGTGTAAATAGCAACACTGGGGAGACAAAGATGGCTGGACACGGTGTTGGCCACCCACACCCTCGTGTGTTGTGCCAGCCTTCATAAGTGCTCGTTAAAAGCACCTATCCTAACATGGAAAATATTGTCTTTGTACCTATTGCAGGGTTGGGCAGCTGTTCAAAGGGCTGTACCTCCCAGAAGGTATGGGGCCTCGGCACGAGAAGCTGCTAGGATCTGTGCAGGACAAACTGCTTTACTCGGAGGCTCTGCACAAGGTCAACCGTGCCAATGGCAAGGTGGGCTCAAGCATCCACAGGCATCTTGAGGTTTTCGAAGCGGCTGAAAGACTCACGCATAACTTCCTTGTCATCACCACACATTGAACAAATGTCCCATCTCTGTTATTTACGCAATGGAGTATGCCACATTGGCATTTTCAAGTCCAAGAGTCCAGTATTAATCCAGGATGCTGGGCCAAATCCTGAGGGAGTACTTGGTGAGCTATTTATAGATACCCCACCGAGATATCAATGACCTCAGCTTATGCATCATTTAATCTTGGAAGCAAATCAGACCTAACAGAAAATGGCTCGATTGACATAAGAGATTGGTGCCTGAAAGATGTGCACTACTTGAGCATATTTAGCCAAAGGAAATTGGAAACAAATTATGAAATGTGCAGTGAACACCTATGGGCTATCTGCCCATGGATCGTGATGAAATCAGACCAGCTGTGTTTAACAAAGTGTATCAGGAGAGTGTTAAATAGTTAACAAGTGCATTGAGATTGGTGGGAGACATGAGGAGGCTTTGCATACTAATGTTATTTCCCCCTCTATTATTTTAGTGGCTATTTATAAATAGTGGCTATTTATAAATAGATCACCCTGTATTTTATGCGGGAGAAAACTGAAGTCACTGGAAAAAAACACACCAATGCTTAGAAGGGTATATCACTTAAAATTCATACAAATTGGTCAGCAATCTACTTTCTAGAGCACCATCTGCTGGCTACCTCTTATCCGACAGGTGTTTGTTTCAGACAGTAAGACATCTGCATAATTTCACAAAGCCTTGCCTCATTAGCATCTGGCATTGTTACGCAGTGACCACATGCAAAGAGATGAAAACTTTCTCCTTCACGAAGCCCAGAGTGAGTGAGAAGGTTGCTCAGACGGGGCGCTTGTGTAGTAGACGCGTGTGCCACGTGTGTTTCTTGCAGGTGGCAGTCCGCATCCTATTACTCACCAAGACCAGCCTGCTGCTGGCTGACCACAAGACAGCGCAGATGAAGGCGCTCGTGTCGCTGGCCGACGTGGATGGCCTGTCCACCAGCGCTCTGTCCGACGGAGTCTTCGTGCTGCACGTCAAGCAGGTACCCCTCGTCGATCACACACACACGCGCATTAGCCTCATCTGCCGTGGCGCAGGGCCATATTATCCAATAGGCACAGTAGGCACTGTGTACACTTGGCACTGGGCCTAGGGCCTACGAAAACTAAAGGGCTGAGGAAAAACAATGTGACCATGTTTTTTTGTTTGTATGATAAAATTTTTTACCAAGATATCTTCTTCAATAAATATATTTATATGACTGTTCGTTGCAATTTCTTTGCAGTGGTAACAAGTCGTTGACTCGTAAGTCAGGCATAGTGCACCTAAAATAATAGTCAAACAAATATTTAAGCTTAAACAAAAGTAAAGCGATATGGCGCTCGCCATGCGGTCGTCCTGTCAGAACATTGCATTTGTTATCGATGAAAATGAACGTCATACTTTTTAAAGCTGTCATTCGATATGATAATCATAGTCAAAAAATAGTTGAAGAAATTTTCGCTTCAAATATTTTTAAGCTTACCTTGTTTTTCTCAATTTCAAATTAAATCTGCTCATCTGCGGCACACAGCGCGCTCCCATCGAATTAGGGCACAGACTAAATAATGAACGTATCAGTAATGACATCTGTCAAGCGGCTGGACAAAGTACGCCTGAAACAAGCGAGTGACAGTGGCGGTAATAACATGGGCAGTACTAACTGTCGAAAGTTATTACTGAAAGCCGACGAAACAGAAGTGCCTAGGACCTACAAGAACCTTAATCTGGCCCTGCCACGGCGTGCCTGTAGTCCGCATCTAGGTGAGATGTGGCGCTCATGTGTAGTTGGGTGTCCGCTGGGCTTGGTGCACAGCTTGTGAGAGGCAAAAGCTGAGCTCCAGTGTTGTGTGTTGAGACATCGGACATCATTAATACAGCTCACATGTGCTACATGCCATGAAATGTAATCACCTCCTAATATTCTTGTAACATTTCTTCCCTGGTGGTCCCGATTAAATTGAAAGATCGATTAAAATAATGTACATTGATAAATGTAACTAGCCCCTCTCGTGGCTGCAAAGGTCACATGAATCAACTGCGTGCAGCATATATTAATTGAATATAATTGATTAGTACAAGCATGATTTTATGCACATGTTAGTTTAAAGTTATAAATGTATGCATTATTAGATGCCGTCCATATAAAATTTACCCCTAGCAACAATAAAGGGTTGAAAATAATACAAAAAATTTAAATACAAAACAGACTGGCTGACCATGAAACCTACAACAGAATGTACTTGAAAGCCAAGGATATGCTTTGAATAAAACATGCAAACCATAGCACCTGGTGTTGTTTTTCATGCCGCACAGTTGAGGCAGTGGTTTGGCACAAGGTGTTTCAAGTTGCTGTGTCGTTCGGAAACGATGACCGCCAATGGGGGGGGACATGCGTTGTTGTGGCTTGGCCAGGGCACGTCAGCGGCAGGGAAGGGGGACTTTGTGTTCATGAGCGAGCACGTGGTTGAGCTCCTCACCAAGCTGCACCGCACCGTGCTGGAGACCACGCACCAGCAGCTACCGCTGAACGTCTGCAACGCGTAAGCAGCGCACACACGCACACATGCACCCCCATACCCAGTGGCTGCGCTGGGCATAAGCAACCCAAGCAAACTGCTCGAAGGGCCCCGGGATTCATTAAAACAACTAAATTTGTGCATCAAATATGATTTAAATTTCAAATCTAATTAACAATTAAAATATATATATCTCCTATGTCATCTCATTTGGATTGTATAAGTTGAAAGGGGCAGTCCCCCAGAAATAACTTCTGCTCACACGCATGAGCCACAACTGATACTTGTGTCTTTGACATGCTAGCAGATGTCCGCAGCGCATTAAGCAGCAATGTTACTGCAGTGAAATGTTTGTAATCAGTGGCGTAACCTCATTATCAGCTCAGTGGATGTGGCAATTGGTCAGGTGGGACCCAAATACTTTCGAAGACGTGTCTCATGGTGGTTGTGAAGGGGGTCCCAACGCAAGTTATGCTACTGTTTGTAATTCATCAATTAGGTTGAATTATAAATCCTCACAACATGGTGCATTTTAACAAAGCGAGTGCAAGACCGCTCTTGAAGGTCGTGAGGTTTTCATTTTCCTCTACCCTGTTGATCCGTGAAGGTTTCCGGTGCATTTCCGCGAGGAGAGTGTGAACGTGAATTTCGCCACCGCCACGCAGCGCAACGGCAGCCTGCCCGTGTGCAAGCGCAAGAACCACACGCTGGAGGTCACTGTGCCCGTGTAGCCGGAGACACCCGGCCAGGACTTGATCCTCCTCTTCCCCAGCTTCCTGAGAGAAGCATGGAGGCACACACTCGCTCCACCCTCTCCCCGAAGACCAAAGAACACCCAGCCCTATCCTCGATCGTGTCCCCACCCAACCCTCCCACCATCCGCCACTCCCGCTGTGCACAACACTCGCCTCGTGCTGTCATCTTCTATTTGCGATGCCTGGGGTAGCCATCGGACTAAACCCGTGCACTTTCCGAATTGTATTTGTGTGCTGGACTGTACAGTCGCCAAGTGCACTGGCCAAATATTGACCACTCACAAAACATGCTTCTAAAACCAGTAAAACAAGGTTGGCTTAAAATGACACAGCTCCACTGCAACGACTGAAACATTACTACGTTTATAAAGTAAAATTGACTGCGATTAAAATGTGTATGTCGATCAAGGGCTTCATTTGTGAGGAGGAAATGTAGCGTCACATCATATACCACCCATTCCAGCCTTACCCTGACCCGACTCTACAGGCAGTTGTTTATTCCAAAAACTGAGGGATGTCTTGTTATGTGATTTTCTTGAGTAACTTTTTGAAAGCTTCGGAAGGACCCTTAACCTGGGAATCCCAGCATGATGGAAATTCGCTCATGAAAACACTTTGACATATGTGTATTACTGTTTAGTGTGGGTGGTAAACTCATGCAGATGACTAATTTCACACTGATTTGCATATGCAATAGTTACAATAGTTCTGAATGGCAGGTTTTGTGTACATAATGTTTAGACGCCAGGATTCTAACATAACATCCACGACATCTCCGTCTTGACACTCGCTCTCATGATAAGATATTCATTCACATGTTTAGTCAGGATAGCTCATGCTTCCTTAACTTAGCATTATATATGTAAAGCGTATTTAAAAAAGTCTACGTCCACAAATGCTTAGGAATGTAAACTGTGCAAAGCATAGCAATGTAGCTAGGCAAAGAGTGTCATTGGCCGGCCATACGTTGGATTTTATTGTCCAAAAGCAGCACTCGAATAATAGACCTATTAACAGTCTCCCATGCAAGAATCCACTACCTTTGCCTTTGCTGAAAACTCAATGTCAGACTTCAGCATGCTTGTTTGCTTACACTTGAAAAATTGTGCCTTTGTGATTAAAATCACACCACTCTGACGCTTTTGAATCGCCACTAATGTATTCCTATTGGGCTTACCACATTTTACGCATCCTCTGATGTACCTATTGTTTTTTTTACTTAATTTTTATTGAACTGTAATTTAATGTTGGGCATTAGTACTTTTCAATAAGTCCCTTGCATCATTTAAAGGTTTGTACATGGTATACAGCATTGTAATAATGGTATTATGTAATTTCTGGGTATGTTATTAGAGCATATTTAGAAGCAATGTTTATACATCTGTCGATGGCAAAGGAGTTTTAAACTAAATTCCAAGGCTTATTCTTAGATATATTATTGCTAATGGATTGTAGGCATAAATGGTGCACTTTCAGTTGTACGTATACACAATATTGCCTTGTAAAAATGTACTTCTATACAATGTAAGAAAAATCTCTGCACTAACTTCATTGATATTTTTCATCAGACGTGTGAGCCCAGCTGATGTGTCTGTAAATGTGGGTTCTGATAATGATGAAGTGTGGCGTCTGTTTTAAACGGTAAATAATTTCTGGTGAAAAGAGAACTTAAGATGTAGAGAAATATGGCTTGTACTTTGTAATATATTGTCTGCTTCAGGGTGTATGGCCATGGGTGTACATTTATGTAGCGGTACATCTATTTAACAACTTAGACAACAGCTGTATCAGTGTACGTAAGTTTGATATAGCACGGGTTTCTAAACATCTGAACAATATAATCTACTTACCGTATTCTATTTTCGACTTGCCTGTTGTTATATTTTTTGATTATCTTCCAGATTACACCGAAAAGTGTTTTGTCTGTCATAACAAGTGATTAAGAAGTATCGAAAATGCGGCTATATTGCTGATTGACACTGGCATAAATATGAATTATGACAAAATATATACCACTGATAATTTTATTTTAAATGTACTATATCACTGTGTTTAGTGTATCCAGTATAGACTGACTGGCTTTGCACGTAAATGTGATGTACATTAGCATAGCTTGTTTTCACAAACATGTCCACTCACCTCCCGGTCAGGCTGTGTTTATCAATCCACACAATTCATGATAAACTTTTCTGGATTTGCTTCTTATGAATGATTCAGTCAGCTCTCATGCGATTGGTGGGCTTGTTCATACAAATGAGCATTAAAATGTCTGGATATTTTTTTATTTACCTGACGTGCTGCTTGCAGCATGTTTTATTTGATAAGCTTTAAACTCCAGTAATTACTCAATGTTCATGTGTTTTTTTTCCAATTACAATAACTGAATACTTCTATGTTTGAGTTTTTTTTAGCTTCGATTAAAACACTTGTTGTTTTATATTCAACTTGTTTTTAAATACTGCAGTTAATAATGCAAGAATAAATTCTGCCAAAAAGGAAAACAAAAACTCCTTGCTTTTATGAATTTGATGGGTCTGCCTGTGGCATATCCATCATGGATGGTGGTTAACTGGTTAACTGCACTTTTATAGTGATTTATACTGCATTACTCTGAGTGCAGCAGCTTGCATGGAGTGCAACAGCATGCATTGGTACATTTGTAAATAGAACGTGTTGCCCTTCCACTTGATCCAGTGAGACTACTTTCCGTGTCACAAACGTCCTAAGAGCACCACTCACAAAAACACCATAAGGTAGTCGGAAATAAAATAGTAAAACAAATCGAATACTGAATGTACAACACATCATGCCTGGGCCACCACCGCAGTTCTCGTTAAATTATTGATGGGAAGATTATAATTTGGAGCAGTCATGCATATTCTTGCATGACTGCTTGTTGTAACTTAGTTTGGAAAAATTAGTGAGAATTGAAATGCAATGGCAATGTGATAATTGCACATGAAGTCTCTCGTGTAATCTGGCAATGTCAAGGACTTCAATAGAATTTAAAGTATAGAATAGTATAATTGGCCAAGCAGATTATTATTCCTCGCGAGAAACATGAAATCCAGCTACTGCGCCTAAACTGTATGCGTTTGATTAATTCATAGAGCAGGGCAGCATTTGCAATATACATCCTTAGGTCTCAGGGGAAATCTCCGCAGATTTCATTTTAGAAACACTAATTTTAAAGGGGATGTGTTTTATGGAGACCACTTATTCCAGGATAGTTTTATTAACTCTTAAGTGACTTTACCGAAAGAACCAAGAATATTAATTCCTGCAGTCACGAAAGTTTTAAGTCAAAATATAGATTAGTCCTGAAATGCTCTCTGCGATAACCTTTCTCCATCAACTGGGACAGGGTATTCAAATGGAAATATAGTTTCCCTTGAATGTTATTTTGCTGCATTGAGCACCAACATATTATATCATACTTACTGGCTGGAGGGACGGACGAACGATCACGTCCAAATGACGTGTGGGCTGCGAGTAGTACAGAATTATTGAAGCAAGCATGAAGATTGTATGTTGAGACAGCCCTCTAGTGGCCAAATAAAAGTTATTACTTTTACCCACAATGTTTTGTCTACAAAATCGAATTTGTATTTGGGTCACATCCTGTTAAAAGGGCTACAGATACAAAAACATCCGCTTTCCGTGGTATAAGGTGGGAAGTAGTGTTTACGAGATCCTTTCTCTGTGGCCACGAATTATATTTCCCAGAAAGTGACAATGGTTTTGTGCAGCATTAGGTGAGTTACACATCCTTCCCGGACAAATTTCAAATTCCCAACCACCCCCTCCCAACTATCCATTAGCCACATCTTGATCCGTTAAAATGAGTTAAATATGCAAATCAATCATTTGTAATAATTTAAATATGCATTTTAATTATCTAAAAATAAACTCACTATCTAGGCAAATTAGTTGCGAGCATTTTTTAAAATGCTAAAATGAACTGGATTTATGCGTGCGCTCAAGTAATGAGCCCTCAGTGTGACCCTATCAGGATATGAGGGGCTCCTCAATTGAATCAAAAGGAGTGCATGGAAGGTCAAAATGAGTCGGATTGATGGAGATTCTCGAGATTGGCGTGATCCATGACACGTCGAATGAGATTTTATTTGGTCCGTGGATGGGTGCCCAGGCTGTATTAAGACGGGTTCAGTTATTTAAAACCCGTCTCATTACACACCAACTACAATTGAAAGCACGATTATATTCTCTAAAACGAGGCTAATTTGTTATTCATAATTAGTTAATTTTGGGTGAACGAAACTCGCGAGACAACTTGATTCGACTCTGTCGGGCTGGTGAAGGGTTACAGATAAACAATGACGCACCTACACGACGATCTAACCCTGAATACATTATTAACCATTTAACGTCGGTCGTGAAAGCCCATTGTATGTAAAAAATGTAAGCGAATGATTGCAACGCGGATTCATTTGGTGACTGCTGGAGTTAATCGAGGACGGAGAGCTCCCTGACAAGTCACGACTGCCACTGACAGAGCCTCAGAGTGGAGCTGGGCAAGCGGGAAGGTCGTCGCATCATCAGAATTTCTGAGAACCCATCCAGCAGCGGAGAAGCCAACCAAATCGGCAAGAGCAGCAGCGAATTCCCTATGAGCAACAGCGTCGGTTATACATGTTGTCATGGTCTTTTGAGGCCACAGTGTTGTTGTAGGGTTTGTAATTGTTGTGCTTGTGCAGGACTCGTCAACGCAGCAGCAGTATCACCCACCAAACGAATTATTTCCTTTTGGTGCCAACATGAGGCCCTCTCCGGCCATCGGTGGCCACGCTCAAAAGGAGCCTCCACCGCCGTTGCCTCCGTGTGTCATGGTGGCCGAGTGGTTAGGGCGTTGGACTCGAAATCCAATGGGGTCTCCCCGCACAGGTTCAAATCCTGTCCATGACGAATCGCAGTAACTTTTTATTTTATTTGATACGTCTCATATATGTTTGCGAACGATTTATTTTTCTACGCGTGTACTTTTTTCGATGTTGTCTTCGCGAGTTCACTTTCTTTCCCCCACTGAACACATTGGGATTGGCTGCGTATCTCGGGGTTGGTATTTTTTTCCGCCCTCAAAGCGCGGCGTTGGTTTCAAAAATGGAGGAAGGAAGGAGGGAGGCGAGGTTTCGTCGTCCAGAAAGCCCCGGCTCAGGGACTGTAGGGGTCTCCTGCCTGGGCCCGATGTACGCTGGGCCGGCAGAGGGCGCTGTGAGACGAACCCCACAGGCACGACCCCCCCCCTCCCCCCTGACCTTCCACGTGAGCCACTGTAAGACCCAAGCACACTGAAGCAGGGTTGACCCATTGGAAGTCAACTACACTGAGCTAGGTTTGACCCATTGGAAGTCAACCGCACCAAACCTAGGATGAACCATTATGTGTCAACCACACTGATCCAGGGTTGACCCATTGGGAGTCAACTACAGTAACCCTTCGGTTGATCCATAATCAAGCACATTGACCCCGCGGAGGCAGGAGACTTGTGTTAGTCAACCACACCAACCATGCCACTGACCCATGACCCATGATAAATAAAGCACATTGAACCCTGCGGAGTCTGTTTATACAACTACGGAGCCTAGCAACATGAAATCCGACTTGCATGTTAACATGTCTAACCCTCAGGGAAACCCGTTGTGGTTGTTGCTCTCTCTCACCATGCCTTATTAACCTATTAGCAGGTACAGTATTATGTTAAATGCAGAGCCTCTATTGGCAATGAGGGTCGTGGTGTGGCCAATAACATCCTGAAATGTATTTGTCACCCCAGTGCGGATGTTTAAAAATGGCACCAGATACCCATATGTAAGGCTGAGTTGACCTAGGGGAGGCCCAAAGCTAGTCCGTATATCTGCTACTGTAAGTTTTATCCAGGAATCGAAACCAGGTAGTCGGGTTCAAAGCGGCAGTGCACTACGCTGCCGCTCCACCCCATTATTTAGATCCACTGTAGAACATTTCACTATACCAGTTTACAGGTGATTGCATTGCTCTAACTCAATACCCTGTGGGCAAAACAAACAAACAAACAAGCATATACAGTACCGTAATTAGCGTGGCGACAGGGGGTGCCTTGGCCTCTCTGGTGGCCAAAGCTCGAGTTGGGGCCCCTTGACAACCACCATGAGATATTTGTTTTTTAAAACAGTGTTGGGTCAGGTGCGACACTTAGCAGATATTGGCAGAGGTGTGGACTCGAGTCATGTGACTTGGACTCGAGTCAGACTCGAGTCATGAATTTGATGACTTCAGACTCGACTTGGACTTGCATAACAATGACTTTGTCCCACCTCTGAGGTGTGGACTCGAGTCATGTGACTTGGACTCGAGTCAGACTCGAGTCATGAATTTGATGACTTCAGACTCGACTTGGACTTGCATAACAATGACTTTGTCCCACCTCTGGATATTGGGGTCCCACCTAACCGATTGCCGCACTCCCTGAGCTTAATTATGTAGTTACGCCACTGAGCATATACATTAAGACATCGACCACGAGGCATTTAAAAAATGGGAACATTGTAGGTGTGGAAAAACTAATTTATGTGCAAGGAACACAACGCTGTCCAAATAGCATATCCTTGAAAATAAGGTCCACTTGGATGGGGTGAATCATTAAATATCTTTAGGCTCTTGACAACATTTAAGTCGTCTTCTTCATACGGCTTATAATGATGTAGGGCAACAACTATAATTGTACAGTGAGGTGGTTGAGACATAATTGCGTCAGAGTAATTATACAGAAGTCAAAGCGAACGTCCTGAGAATGGGTTTGGCACCAGATTTCGGTGCACATACTCGCACAAAACTACCTTCAGCTGGACGAGGAAAGAGCCCAGAGCTACAGCAGTTGGAACAGAATTGATTAATGCTGCCGACACCACACTGGTACTTGAGAGAAATGACAAAAACAGCTTAACAATAGGGCACTAATAGGATCACAGTCTGGTAATCTGGCGCTTCTGAGTGAGAATTGGTGGATCACGCAAACATCACCAAATATGTGCGTGCGAATTTCAAGCTGCAGCGTGAGGAGGTGGCTAGTAGACAGCAGTTGAGAAAGTATGTGTCTGATCTGTCTGTTTGGATGTTTACACATTATCCCCATGTATTTCTGAGGTTTCCTCTGGGTACCCTGAATTACACCACATGGAAAATAACACAATTTGAAATCGGTCGAATCCAGGATCATCCCCAAAAAAGGTATTGTTGAGGCTCTCAATAAGGGAGGCCGTCCTCAAGGACAATTAACGCAATCATTTGTTTTGTTCATCGGTGAATTTGCACGGTGAGTATTAACGCGACGATTGCCCTACGAGTGCCAGATTTGTGCCACGAAAAACGTGTAAACAACCAAAATAATCTTCGTTTTGACTTTACTCTGCGCTCGGTGCCCTTTGCTCGGGACGCACTAAGAGTAAACATGCACATTGCTCTGTCCGTAGCGCGAGTGGACGCGAGGCGCAACGAGAGCCCCAGTCGCTCCATGCCAGCTTGGAGAGCAGCTGACCTCGACAAAAACACGTTGACATTGTGAGAGAAACCCATCCGAACGGATAAATAGTGTTGACCAGGAAATAACACCGTAGGTTTCCAATAACACGCAAATTTTTTTTCAAAACATTGAGCTTTTGTTGATTACCCAACAGACCATCAGCAGTTCTGGGAGCAGTGCATCGTGGTCCGCATTTTGCTTAAACTTACAGTACTGTATAAGGTAACTTTGAAATATTTCTAAATCGCCCGGAATGTAGCAAAACTCGTCAGATTAGTGCTGTAATGTAAGCAAAGGACAGCTTAGAAAAATGCAGTACATGTTTACTTTACAGGTATTTCTACGCTCCCAAATCTATGGTCGAATAACCCCCATGACCCGCACGGCATGGGGAGGCCCTCATCCAGCAGTGGATTGACAAACGGGGTTTGCATGCACAGTACATAAGGTACGATACAATACATAAGGTAGTGTTAATAGCACAGATGATAGCTGGTGTATCCAGCTATCATTGTTTTAGTTATGATATCTGATTTCGAATTAACGATGTCCATTTCGCCTAAAGGGTACATATTACCTGTATTCAAGGTAACATGACAACACGTAACAGGTGAGCTGCAAGAAGACTACCGTCTCCATCATGTGGTAAAGTAATGTGGCCTTCGCTCCTTCAACGGTCGAATATGAACACTATATGGGCTCTCTCCTGGGGCCCTCTCGTGGGGATATCAGACCTCCACTTTGACATTTAGCTCCTGAACATATTTTGTACACAAACACATTCCTGCGGAAGGGAGCTGGTAGGAACGTTGGGTTGCTCGGTCAATGGCCAGGGTCAACGGCAGGCGTGGTGTATTCCGCAAATATGCCCGACTGTGAGGGCGGGCACAAGCCGGCGTGAGTAGGTTAAACGTTGAGTTTTATAAGGGCACCACGGGGTGACCAGCCCCTCCCCACCCAGCCCCACCCCTCCCACTCCCCACCCAGCCCTACCCTCCCCACCCAGAAACCCTCCCCACCCTCCCCACCCAGCCCCTCCCCACCAAGCCCCTCCCCACCCTCCCCTCCCTACCCAGCCCCTCCCTCCCCACCAGCCCCTCCGTGCACGACGGACACAATAATCCCCTGTGGTCTGGTGTAACCAGGAGCTTCCTACCAGTATAATAGACTATAATTTGCCTTTTCATAATTGATGTAGGAGCTAAGCTGAAAAGAAAAGTAGATGATGCCATCATTTGGAAAAAATCATGTGACAACGATATCAGGTGGTGACAGTCACATGACACCAGTGCCACGTGGAGCCAATGTGGACTTGTGAGAAGCAGACTAGGAGAGACTACAAGGACTCTTGGAGGATCACATGGTATACAGCGTGAGGATGGAGGTGGTGTATTTGTGTTGAACTTCTTTCGCACCATACGTAGCCAACCATTACTAGTTCGCGGGTGCGGGGTAAGGACAAAAAACTAAACACAAAAAGCAGTTCTCAAGAAATGAGTTTTCAATATAGATTTAAAAGTGCATAGCTCCTGTGACTTTCTATTATCGGAAGAGCGTTACAGAAGGTCGCAGAAGATGCATCTGAGAGTGCGCGATGCAGTCTTTGTTCGATGGCTAGCCATAAAGAGTAAATTACACTGTTGGGTCACAAGGTTATCCTAAAAGGGAACTATCCTGACATCGGATATGGACAGTGGCACGATAGTTGTTTGGGGTGGAGTCGCGTCCACAATAATAATACAAAAACATCTAATTCATTCACTAGCTTCCCCTGTGCTCTATACAGGTATTTGTTATCAGTGGACTGAGTATGGCAGTTTGCAAATCTCTATTTTATATTTCACGAAGTAATCATTAGCATCGTTGTAGAGTATATAAATAAAAAATCGATAAGCAAATAATGTTTTCTTCATATATCTATATCTTCTACATTAAAACATTTAAGTACACAACCCATCTACCCAATGGCCTTCTGGGTATGCAAAACGTCAGCTGAATTCAGTACACGCAATCCTTTTGTAATGAGAGAGTGCCATCTATTGGGCGGCAAGGGGTAACCGCAGGGCCACCACCAGGTAACGGGTATCCAATCCTAAGCGGGGATATATCACGGCCAAGGGTAATGAACGGAGTCAAAGGGGGAACGTGCGGGAACCAACGGGAAGGTTTCCAGAGAGGGCGTGGCTAGAGGCGGAGCTAGAGGAATATAAGCAGAGGCAGGGGAGGACTGGAGGTCGGTGTGTGAAGCCTCGAGTCTGGACTGTGTCACTGCCAGAGGTTGCAAACGGGTTTTGATTCCTTACCCGTACCCGGCCGCACCAGGGTCGCAAACGGGTACCCGTACCCTACCCGATACCTGGCCGGGTACGGGTAGCCTCTGGCTCACTGCAGAAGCCTCTCCTCGCCATCGACCACGTGGTGGAACCCCAGCGAGGCTTGCCTTTCCTTAAACCACCAACCAGCGGCGGGATCGGGCAGTGAGAGACGAACCTCAACAGCGGAGCAGAGAGAACGGCTCTTCCCTGGCCGTAGAGAGAAGGGAAACATACGGGGAGAGCTGTAGTGAGCTGTGCAGGAATTCTATCAATTAAAGACGCCAGTCAAGATCGTCGTGGAAGTCATTTATGACACTTAGACTAGTTTAGACATACAGCATCTCATTCGTCACCCTTGCGTCAAATCTGGTGAATACCCAAATACTATATTTGCATTTATTAGAAAGCTGCTTACAATTCCTTAAAACCTGTTTGCATTGAAACATTTTATAATTGTCGTTAAGTGCGCTTTATCGTCTTGTCACCACCAGTCTTGATCAGCCTCTTCACATGCAGTTTTATATGTCGACACAAGCACATCGACATGCTCATAACACAATGCTCATCATGAACAGCCATGGTCAATGTACTGTTGAATGAAGGCCATCTCACGCTGTCGCCATCCTCCATGGTCCTTTGATGCCACAATCTGTCTCCCTCTGGGACAGGGCCTCTACGGTGGCTCTCCTCTAAGCTGTGATCCCTATTTTTAGTTGTCATTTTGACACCAGTCTTATCCATCGGCCATCCTTTCTAGCTATATGTCCTGACCAGGGTCATTTACATTCACTAACAGTGAGCCTTTTCACATGTGCTTTGTGTGTTGGCTTCAGTCATCTTGCACTTCCCGATAATCACGGTTGGCTACGTACGGTGCGAACGTTCAAAATACATCTTGATATTCATGTTTGGCATAAGCACCCCCATACAGTGCGCTTCACATGCCATCCCATTGGCGGGCTCCATGAGCCATTCCCAATGTGTGTTGACAAATATTATTATGGCTACATTACCCTGACAGCACTTTCACATAGTGGTTAGGGCTGGAAAATCCCGTGTTTAAGTAAGTTCGTAACGGTTCAATGACTACAAAGCTTAAAGTGCACTTAAGTCTCACACACAGCACAGTCATACATTACAGTGTTAAAAACTTGGTTTTACAAACATGGAATTTTCACCTTTTATATTTTTGTGCCACGACATTTCAGACTACATACTGCAATGCTCTTCACTATCACCTCGTCTCAGCTAAAGTGTCATGCAGCCTACAGTTATAACTATGTTTAAAAGCAATATGTCCACAAATGTACAAAGCACTGTATTTTCAAGCTTACTATAACCGTGTAATATTTTTTTATAAAACCGTCAATTTGAATTTATGGATGCACTTACAAATTTAATATGGCGAGATTTATGTATATTTTCATCACGTGAATTTGTGCATATGAAAAAGAAAGAGCATGTTTACCACAGTAAAAACATGCCATAGATGGGTAATGCTGTGTAATCGTATCATGTGGATGATGTATGCAGTAAGGAGATCTTCTCTTATCCATTTTTAAATGGATGACCCATATTGCAGATCTTATTATTTGCAGGTTTATCCGGAAATGTTCTCTCCTTAACTGCACGGGGGCAAATGATTTGCAAATAGTATGAATTTGCTGTGGGACTACTTATCTTCAGAATAATTATGGATAATAGGAGTAATGTCTTAGGCGAAGCAATGCCTAATACCCACGGATAACCCCCAGATGGAATTTCCACGTCACTCCATGTATCAGCGAAAACATGGCAGGTAATGAGTCTTCAACAGGTGGTGGGTGTATCTCCTTTTGGCTGTCTGAGAAACGCAAGAAAAAACTGAGATACAAAGACAGAGACACACAGATACCGACATAGACACGGAGACAAACACGGAGATAAAGACCGGCCGCAGGAAATAGGACCTTTTGCGGACCCGACAGCTCCCGTGGATAATAGGAGTTCTGTATTTGTAGAATTATTTCTTGAACTTAGCACACACCACGAGTCATCCAACAGCTTTGTCCTTTCCATCTCAGCTAGTTTCGCCTAAAAACTCCAACAACGACTCAGCAGTTTCATTGTTTATATTTAATCAGAAAAAGCAATATATAATATTGATGTAATATATGCTGACAGATAAACTTTGTTACAAAACCAAACAACGTAAAATTCGAAGTGTCTGTATTAGTATATTTTAACTTTTATACAAAAAATACACGTACCTTCCTGTACCAACATAACCCCAACAATAAACATTAGGAATATACTCTTTGGTTCTTTCGGTAAAGTCACGTAGTTATAAAATAAAATAAATTAAATCACGACGTTTCGGGCGCAACACAAGCGTCCGTCATCAGGTGGGACAACCACAGCAATAAAGCAATTGGTGGAGTGGGCAAAAGGGCTGCTGTGACAAGAGGCTATATAGGTGGAGCCAGAGGGGGGAGGAGCCAGGGAGGAGAGATAGAGAGGGGGGTGTGGGGTAGAGGGAGTGGGACGCTGCCAAGTGAAGCGCTGCGAGAAGGGATTAAAGGGCGAGTACGGCAAAATGCCGGGGGGGGGGGGGGGCGGGGGGGAGCAGGGTTGGGAGTGGGAGGCTGCGTGACTTTACCGAAAGAACCAAAGAGTATGGATCCCTGTAGTCACGAAAACTTAAAATCTAGATTAGGAATGTAATTTATCACAACTCAACAAAATATGTATTTCACATTGTCAATGGAACTACTTCTCGCAGCCTCAGGGTTCACATGCATTTAATAAAAAAATGTATACGCAAAAATAGTTCTTAATCGACACACATTTATAGCGCAAGAATCAATATTTATTTATGAATTAATGCATTGTAATGTTGACCCCAAGTCAACACGCAGCCACATAACTTCTTGAATGCTGATTACGACCTCGGGGCATACTTGCCAGGCATACCAAATTAAGTGGAAGGTTTACATTCTTAAACCGTTTTACTGGATGCCAATCGATTTTCAAAGCAAATATTTGTAAAAAATAATTGTTTCAAGATGGATATGATACATTTTTACCAATGGTATGCAGTAGCAAGATTTAAAAACTCGGAAGCCTACTACTTAAATTGGTAGAGTTGACAATTATGATCAAGGTGTCATTCCCTGGGATCTCGATACAAGGCTCATTTCTTCCATGATGCTCCCATGCCCTGCAGCAGATCCATGGGCAGTGGGAATATGATGGTGGAGTTCTTCTCGGCAGCAATGGTATTGAGGGTCTGCAGGTAGCGGAGCTGCAAGGCTGCTGGGGCCTCCCCCATTACCAGGGCCGCCTCTTTGAGCGCCCGCGATGCGTGCATCTCTCCCTCCGCTGAAATCACCTGCAGCGAGTGGCATCGGGGTGGTTACCACACAGAAGCTTTGCTCTGATGAAAATGCAAACAATGTATGCATGTTGGGACGAGGACTCAGTAAGCAAAATGTACACTTTAATTTTTTCAGCATCATAAAATATTTACTTACTATACGCTGAGTTTTTTCATTGCGCTATTTTGTTGGGGTGCTTGATTATGAAATATAACCTTCATCATTTGTATTTAAGAATAGTGTGCTGACTGTAACTCATGGCAACCCAGCCAAAGTGCAAGACACTGTAATCACGAGGGTGTGTTTCTGCTAACTGTAGGGCTAGTGCCGAAATCAAATAGGGTGGTGCTCGATTACATAACAGGATTTTCACATTACCAAGCCAAGACATCGGAAGACTGAATTAAAGCTAAATCTTCCACCACTTCTCGGTTATTCACACATTTATAAATCCTGTAGGTTCACTGAAGATCCACTGCATTTTATCATCGGCTATGCACCAGTCGCACTGGTCGTCTTTTCAAAAAGGTTTCTTTGAAATAAAATATAACAAGAAACCCAGCATGCGTTGCGAAGCAAGATGAAATTCTTGTGGATATGTTGCACACAGGATATTTGTTTTTTATCGTAATAAACATTTTCACAAAGACACACAAACCTTGGCTCTAGCCTCTCGTGTTGCCTCAGCCTCAGCTGCCATGGCCCGCTGGAGCTGGTGGGGCAACTTGACGTCCTTGATGTCCACTCTCTCCAACTTTATTCCCCAGTTGTCTGTAGCATCGTCCAGTGTGAGCTGCAAAACCAAAGAAACCACAGCATGGCAATGCACAATGTTTCACCATATGGTCCTAAACAGCACTGAAGAACCAAACTGCACCGGCAATGTACAGTTCTTAGACGAGCAAACAACGATGTAACATTAAGACAGAGACATGCAAAGTTAGTATCAGCAGTAACTAATGGTTTTCTGAGGTGGAATTAATTTAAGCTACAGGCGGTCCATGCGTTTACGACACAATGCGTTCCTGGCAACACCGTCGTAAATTGTAAAGTCGTAAATCGGACCCTACTTTCCCATAGACAGTAGGAACAGTAGAAACATCACTTGCCATGCGGTTTCTTCCCTTTTATCAGCCATATTTAACAAGGATTAATGGGAGAAAAATCCACAAAAACACTTGAGAATAACAAAAGCTCCACACCAAGGCATATCGGAAACCAGACTGACTGTTCAAATGCGTTCCGAGTCATGTCTTGGAAAATGCGTCTTGAATCAAGTTTCAGCATCGTAAACGATCCGTGGTGGCATTATACAAACGTCATAAATATGGATTGTTGTAATTCTGATCGCCGTAAACCGCGCCTGCACTTGGGAGCAGAGGATAGCTCGGCATGCTGACACCTTGGGCAAGGTACCATCCTCACAACCCCCATTGTTATTTTAGTTACAATTTCACTACAGTTTAACACATAGGCTTCCGCGACCAATATTATTCATAAAGGTTTTTTGGTGAGATTACATAATTTGTTTTACGTGACAAAGCTTACTAATTGGCTGTGTCGGGTGGTGGTGGGTTAACCATGCATTTATATTTGCGAGATCTCACCCAAAAAGCTTTTCATGATGAAATTTCATTTCAGTTTACAAATTGCACGTCTTCACTTGCACATTACTAAACCTTGCGCAGTTGAAAAAAATGACTCCACAGTAAACAAAGTACTGTACGGGCATCTGTGCAGACCCACCTGCATGGTGTGCGCGATCTCCTCCCGGTCAGAGAGGATCTCGGACAGGTTCTTGGTGCCCAGCACATTTCGGAGCGTGGTCTGGGCAAGCAGCTGTGTGGCCGAGTTGGCATTGGTGATGTTGGCCACAGACAGGATGGCGTTCTGTACACGGTAGTACACCACGCCGTCCACACTCACTGTCACAGAGTCCTTGGTGAGAATCTGTGGGGAAGTGCAAACGGGCACACGGGTGAGTAATCATAAATGGTTTATACTTGAGGCACAAAGATGGTCAATAATTAAAAGTTCAAAAACGGTAATATTTGTAACGATTTTTTTTACTAAACATCAGTTTCATCATCAGAGTTTGACCTGTTAAAAGCTACTATATAACCCACTAGGTAATCCATAACCCAAAAAACCTGTGTATTATGGATAACCCATTGCTATAGGCAAGACTTATACATATAACGATGTGTAATGTATTATCCATAGAAGTACATTACACACCACCTCGGACTGATTCACCTGGCATACATCTGCTTTGATGAGATCTTGGAAGCTAAGTTGAGTTGATACTGGACAGTACCTGGATTCGTGATCACAAATCATAGGCTACTGTGAAGCTGCATTGTGGGCAGCAGGCCAGTGCTGCAAATCCATTGTAATATATTTACATACTCGCACATATATGATTCCCGCCTTCACCAACCCAAAACGACCAGCATGTTGAAGTATAGTCAAATAACCCCCATGAACCATATGGTGTAAGCGGTGGATTGACAACATGTCCACATAGACCACCTTACCTCTTGAGGAGGGATGTCAAAGTTGACTGTCCTCATGTCCACCTTCACAAAGTTGTCTGTGCAAGGTACTATCCAAAAAAGACCTGTGCACATCCACATAAGTTACAGTATACATCATTACATACGTCACTGACAAAGAAAATGTAACAAAAACTGAAATTTTTTGACTTTACAGAACAAGAAACTCTGCTCTGTCAAAATGAAAATATTTACCTGGGCCCTTAGCGCCTCCTGGTTTGATTCGTCCTAGTGTGAAGATGACGGCTCTTTCATATTCTTGCACTATCTAATGAAGATAGAAAGAGGAAAAACACAAGACACGCACGTGGTATTTTTTTCCAAGGTCACCATGTGTGTAGTCGTGTAAGATTCAAGAGTAGTTAAGATGTGTTGCTTTGTTTTCTGTCAACATAAGTTTATGCAGAATGTTCAATACGTGTCTCTTCCCCATACGTCTGGATGAAAACTGGGTCTGTACTTAGTTACAATAAACAGATTAGATGAACCAGTGGTTTATCTTAATATGTAACCGCTTGGACTGTGCCCCCTATTCTATACTGTAAACTCTACATAAGTTAATGAATCCAAGCTTCATACAAAATGCAACCAAATGAAAGCTAACATACGATGCTCAGTGTTTTAAATTAAATGTATACAGTACTTAAACACTGTATCCATGGTTTGTATGTCATTTAAATAACTTACCTTGAAACACATCCATATGCTGATTGGGAATGTGATGAGTATCAAAAGGTAAGAAAGTCCGATTAACAGGTAACCACAGCAACCGACTCCACTGCTAGAAGGATCTGAAAATACACACAGATTTATCCACTTTAACCTTGAGTAGACAATTAATAATACTTCCACTTATCAGAAAACGGGACGACAGGTAAACGGGAGTTGTTCAGCCCCTTTTTAAATCCTTTATATTAAGTTCGCTTGCTTGCTTGCGTGCTTGCTTGCTTGCGTGCTTGCTTGCTTGCTTGCGTGCTTGCTTGCTTGCGTGCTTGCTTGCTTGCGTGCTTGCTTGCTTGCTTGCGTGCTTGCTTGCTTGCTTAGGACCGTGTAAATCTTTCGCTCGTTTTTTAACCCACTTCCCGTGATCCAATCGAGCTGACATTTTGCACACAGACTCGTTGTGCGAGACAATTAATGTTCGTGAAAATTTTTTCCAAAATTTTACACTGTTTAGGGAAAACAAATTAAATATTTAATTACCAATTGCTTAATACTGGCAGACAATCATCTGACCCATAGGTGGCAGCCATCTCAAGCCAGAGGACGATAAGACTCTAGCCGCCACGCATATAAAGGATTTATAGTGAAAAACTTTGTTTTTACGGGTTATACTTATATACATTTAACAAAGTTAAGTGAGCAGATGTATGCAAGGTGCAGTAAGTAAACACACCAGCACAGTATATGCACGAGGAGATAACACCAAAGGTTGGAACGAAAACAATGTGTGCACACTTTAAAATGTTCAAGCTTCATACCCCTGTCACTATGTGCCTTACACAGCAACAGCCGCCATTGGCCGCTAAGTGTCGGTGACGTCCCCACGGTGCCTGTGCCAGGCTAGGTGCACTTTGAGGCCACGATAAGTGTCCAAGATTCTCTGCTGACAGGAGGTCTCGGGGACAGACTCTAAGGCGCCATGGGTTGACGAACTGAGACGACTGGCAAGATGTGCCCCCTACTGTGTTAACTTTCTGCGTTTTATCCGCCCGGCGCTCCGCTCTTTGTTGTGAGCGTCGTTCTTCTGCCCTCCTCACGGACACACGTGGCACCGAACATTCATCTGATACCTAACACCAGACACTTACCACACTCACCTGCCATCTACTTATGAACAAAAGGCAACTGAAGCCAACCACTCAATTTACATTGCCACTCCATCCATATTTACCAACTCTACTAATTTAGGCGGTAGGATTCCGATGTAAAACCTGTTTACCATGTACCGACTTGCATCGCAAATGTTGCATCAATGATTATTCCACGATTGCGTAGAGCGGTATGTCACTCATCACTTACTAGACGCAGGGCTCACGATTCAGCTGACGCCACTCACAAGACTCACGACTACCACCGCGCACCACGCAGTGTTTACACGGATGGACGCAAATACATAAACATCGCTGTTGCTGTTAAGACGCCAAACGTTATCAACTGAAATACATCAGGAAGTGTTTCGGACGATGACAATGAACAACAAAGGCAACCACGTTTTGTTTGATAATACAAAATACACGATTTAAACTACACAACGCATTAGTAAACGTCGTACACAGTATGCAAAAGTGAGATGTCAACTCGAATTCTCAAGATCGCCTTATAACACAAAACGAACACATAGGGCAATGCTTGGCCACACGTTTTTTTTTTTTAAACCACACACTTTTCTCCCAACGCGCATCGTGTTTGTAACCTACCGGCAGAGCTATACAACTGGTTGTCGTCTGGATTCCTCTTCGACATTTCTGCACCGACCGAATATGAACACGAAGACAGGGCAAGAGACCTGAGAGTTCTCTGCAGAATATAGGGTTCTCGACTGATTTATACACACGACGCACCTTATGACGACATCGATGACGCGTGCGTCTTTTTCCACCCCCCTGGGGACCTCGTGCCCGGGTGACTCACGACCCAAACAGCTTTCAGGTCAACAAAGCACCTTACGCAACTGTTGGACACGCCCCATTCGTTTTGATTGCGTTGCTCACCACGGAAAGAAGATATATATTTGTTTGAATTGAATGTGTTTTTCCCCCCAATCCTGCACTGGTCAACCTTGTTTTAGTATAGGTGTGCCTTGGCATGCAAGATGATAGATTCACCTGTATGTCGAAACCGGTCCATTGGGTTGCATTCTTTGAATCACTGAAGGTCGTGGGACCGATGGGTTGTTAGAAATACTTAATCTTTTATATGGTAACATTATCTGCTAATCGAATGTAAGCCACTTCATTGAGCTGTCATTTGTGGCCAGGTCGCTTTTGAAAAAGAGCGATATGAAGCTCAGTGGACCTTACCTGCTCAAATAAAAATAGTAAAAAATAAAATTATACGCTGTAAGGTATTTTCCACGACGCGAATGTATTTTGAGTTATCCAGATGACAGTGCTGTAGAGTATATTCCTGAAATAATCTAACAATTGTGACATTTCAGCGAATGGATTTTTGCTTATTGCAAATTAACACCCTGAACAAATCCAGTTTAAAAAGCATAGCCACGTCAGTATGTAATAGTCATGTGAAACATGTTTGCAAGTGAGTTAGGGATTCTGCTGCGTGGGTTATGTGCAGTTGTAATGTTGAGTGATGTGATTCATAAATCCAGGTGTCGTAAGCTTGGATTGCAAGACGGCCAGGAAGGCGATAGCAGTACAGAAATACTGAAAAGAATTATTGTATCGGGCGTGGAGTGTTGTGCTTTCTATGGATTCTGTAGTGTGGTTTCTTTCCACATGCCACTGATGAATTGTATTGGAAAATAAGTAATATTTAAAGCCGAAACATAACATATAAAAAATGTTTCCAAATATATATTTTTTATGATAGAATATAGTATTGTCATCGGTATGACATAAGTATACCAAGTTTGCAGTCGATACCACATTGGGAAGTGGGTTAAAATTGAGTTACAAGATTTGAGGATACAACAACAGAGTGTGTTAAATAAGAGCGTGTAATAAAAAATGACAAATTCCCTGAGCAGTGAGGACAGGAGCAGTTGGCACCAAGGACTCGGCATCCTAAGTTAAATTATTTGCCACACGTCAGCGGTGAGGTATCAACCGATCATAGGTCCTCTCCACCAATTCGCACTGACCAGCGTCGTGAACTATGGTCAAACAACGTGTATAACCAACACTGTATGAGAAGTAGATTGACAATGGCTGTACATTTTTTGGTGAATTGCAGGATGGATGTTTTACATATATTTTGTATAACGTAAAAATTAAGGACATAAATTAAATGAACACATGAAAAAATCATTATATTTAAACCCAGGTTTTTCCTAGAAAATCATATAAATGACTCCAGGACCTCATTCTGGTTATTTAAAGTGGCCTTCGGGAGCCACGCAAACCGCATGTGGCCTATAAAAGACCCCCCGTATAATTTAACACGTATACTTTCACGATTCATATTATCCATAATAAAGATTTCTTGGGGGGGGGGGGGGGGGGTTAAGGTAGCCTTAACAGACTTTTGAGTGATAACAACAGGTTGTTGCTCGGAAACCACGCGATGATTCTTTAACCTCGTGGCCCTGGGGAGCCACACGTACCCACATCACTGGAAGCACGTTGCCTACCTACCACGCCTGTGTGTGGAGCGGTAACAGCACTTTCCCTAAAGTCTACTGAGGCTATACGGGTGATCTTTGTCTTTTTTTATCGGCCACGTGCTTTTAGTCAAGAACCACCGGGAAGTGTTGGAGTCATTTCGTGGTAATTAGGGGAAGTATGACCGTAAAAAAATGGGAACTACCGTAGAGTACTTCCACGGATCAGGCAGCACCCAATCCTCTCGTCGTTAGATCTTCCAGAAAAATTAGCATGATGTTATAACAGTCTTGGTCAACTTTGTTGCAATATTGCGAGTTCACAATTAACTCGTCCCACCTGGGTGCAATCGAACGAAACTCCTTAATTACAATACAAGGAAATATTTCCAATTTGTATGTGTGTACGATATGTTGGACTTCTTTCGCACTGTACGTAGTTAACCATGCTCATCGGAGGCACGGGGAAGGACAAACTAAACACAAAAAGCAGTTCTAAAGAAATGAGTTTTATATTTAGAAGAAATTCGCTTTCAAATTATAAAATATGTATTTGTCCTCAGAAGTACCGAATTTTTTAAGAATATATGCACGTTAATGACATCACATATTGACTTTTAAGAAAAATGCTTGGGTAGAAAATGACTGTAAAAATAAGAGAACACGGGAATTGCAACCAAGTGTAATAAAGCACTTCCACGATGACTGTTGACTTGTGTCTTTTATTTAACAATGACTGCACGGCCGCTCTCTCTCTCTCTCCAGATGGCTTCTCTCTCTCCTTGCCATAACGCGTGCACTCCCTCGTCCACCATGCGACACGTCTCTCTCCACACTCGCCAATGGGAGGAGAGAGGGCTTCGCTGGCAGAGCCCGCCACGTGGCCGGTGGCGAGAAGAGGTAGGCAATGATACAGTCCGGACTCCAGGCTTCCCACACCGACCAAGAGTCCTTTGCCTCTCCTTATATTGCTCTCGGCGGAGCTAATCTCCGCCTCTAGCCACGCCCCTCGTGGAACCTTCCAGATGGTTCCCGTACATACGGACCAGCTCCGCCCGTTACCTTTGGCCCAGATGGAACCCTTCTTTCTGATTGGATATAAGTGACCCAGCAGTGACTATGCAACCCCTCGTCCTCCCTTAGGTGGCGCTCTCTCATTACACAAGGAATAAAACACATGATATTACGTCCACTGAGGGGATAGAGTGATGAAGTAAACTCATGTGTGGCTACTAGATGGATCGTTAATTCGTAGGAGCGTGAGACAGCCACTTTGAGAGGTCATCATCAGAAATGAATGTGATCATGGCTGATGATGAATAACGTCAGCATTCAATAACAAGATGATGCCCCGAGATGTGGAAAGGATTAAAATGTAATGCTGGTTTGCTAATTTATCACCGAGTTTTGGCTGTTCCTTTCATACATGTACTCGGTTGTTCACAAGGTAATTCCCGACTAGAAACACAACTTTGAAGTACATATCACGTATATTGGATCATATAATAGATCTTAACGAAAGTTATCATGACTCCCCTTTTGAGAAAGGCAGATGGATAGAGCTCTGCAGTGCATGTTTCATTCCGAGTTGGAAAGCTTTAAAGAAGCACCCACAGAGTATGGTTGCAATAAAGAGTTATTTCAATTATGTTGTGTATATTTTTGGGCGTGTCCCTAACCACATTATTTAGGTGAGGATTAAGTATGGAATATCGCGATTTTCTCTTTCGTGCCACACTTTACAAGAACGTAACCCCCGAAATATTCAAGGGTCTCCTGTATTGCATCTGGCCAGCCCGGTTGATTACCTAGAATGCAGTACGGTTACCTATCGTGTTAGTTATCATCGGGGTTATAGTTTAACTTTCATCACCCCCGCGTGACAACATGGAAAACGGATGTTAAATTGCACCTACAAATCGCGACTACGGTATCTTAAAAAAGTTAATATGAAACCCAGTCTTAGCTGCTGGCCTTGACCCACAGTGACAGAAATCCAATGTTAATATGGCGGGGCAATTCTGTCCATAGCTTATTGATTGCAGAACCATTGTGAACTTCAAATAAGAGCTGTTTTTTCAAAAGCCTATTTAGATTGATATACACCTGGGCTGTGTTCCGGTTTGTTGTACATGAATATAAAGCTGTGTCGGTGGTGTCAATATTGATCTAGTGACTGAAGTATTAAAACGTATGGTATTGGGTCAAATTGGTGTCACGAAAGTGTATCAACTGTGCCTATCACGCCAGGCGTGCAACACAAATTACAGATTAGGTTGGCTGTGATAAGACAATGTGGCTTGGAGGGACAGCGGACTCACAAGGTGCGGGCGTGGGGGTCAAGGGTCAAACTTGAACGACACGTCTGAATTTCTCTTGATCGTTGCGACAGCTATACAGGAAATGCGGATGGAGTAAATAACAGTGGTGCAACATTTATTTATTTATTTTTGTTCCTGGGTAGTAAGTGTTATTTCCTAAGTGCTTATGCCTAAAAAATACAGTAAAATTACTATTATTCCCCACAAACTTTGCTTTTGTGACCAGGACAATGTTTTGAAATTGACATATTTTCCAGAACATTCCAGAGATTCAGTGATGAGTAAACTTGGATTAACTTCTAGAACATTCTAGAACGTTCCAGTAACATAAATAGTAGTATAAATACAGGGGCCTTAAGCCCGCCAGTTCAGTTTAGTTCCAGCTACCCAAGTGGATACATATCTGCATTTTTCTGAGATGGCATCAAGAGGCTGCAAGCATCTGGCAGACGCATTTTGCTATGTCTGCAGCCAATTTACCAAGACAAGAGCGAAAAAGTACTCTTTGGAAGCATCTGCTAAGATGTGCGAGGCCTACAAGGCATATTCCGGCATGCCTGTCCGGGATGAAGACAAACCCTGGGCACCTCATTTCACCTGCGAGCAATGCACAAAACTCTGGAAGGTAAGATGGACAATTGTTGCTCAGAATTTTACGTTATAAAATTATTTGCTTAAAAATCTTAATATTGGCTGAAATCTGCTCGTATTAAACCCCACAATTCACTCAGTGCCACCTGACATGAACCATCATCTCCAAAGATCTTTCCCCACACACATCGCCGTAACAGACTTGGGGCTAAGTGATGTTGGCGAGCACCAATGAACGCCAGAACGATACAAATGTAGTGAGCCCAAGGACGAGACGGTAGTTGAGGCAACACTTTGATTCCATAACACTAATTTACAGGGTCCTTAATACAAAGGGGTAACGGCCTCTTACACCCATTACCTGGGGAGGTATGTCCTCCGGGCTATCGTGTCCTATTACTTGGGACCACGTACACTCATCCCTCCGGCTAGGGGGTCCCTAGGGGAGGCTATCTCGACCCGACCCAGCCAAGGCAACGGGTCTGACCACTGGCCCTCTCAGCCCGGCCCTTAGAAGGACAACGGGACTGGGGTCCCCAGGGTCCTACTCTCAGCCCGGTCTTCAGTCAGGGGTCTGGCTTTTATACACCTGCCAGGGTCCCCACGCCCCTGGCCACGCCTCCCTTCCAGCGAGTTCCAGCGGGACCTGGAATCTTCCCCCAACCCGGGGTCTGGGGAATTTTGGTGGCCCACACATCACACCCTACTGGTCTGCTAGTGCAGGCAAGTACCCTGTTTATCGCGTTACACAAATATTGGGTGGGTGGCCTGCATCACGTCTGGCTGACTTTTTCTTCTTCTTTGTGGCTATGTTTACACGCCGCATCAGGTACTCATCAGTTGAGGCTGGGTGGACCTAGGGGAGGCCCAGGACTGATTCAAATATTCGTCACCGGTGTTGGCTGTGCGCGGGAATCAAAGTCTTGTCGGCGGGTTATCGTAAGCGCTGCGCCACCGCTCCTTACAACCCATAATTTCCACAGCACACGAATCCCGTTGCGTAACTTTCCTGCCACGTTGACCCTGCCCCCCCCGTGTAACCTGAACCGACTGTTTGTGGAAAGTGCTCTAAGCGACCACAAATCAATTCCGGCACGGCACACAAGGTGGTGGGATAGCCAGCACCACGCCCTACCGCCTTTGTCTACCTAAAGGCGATGTTTACACACCGCACCCGGTACTCATTTGAGGCTGAGTCGACCTAGAGAAGGCACAGGACCGGTTCAGATAATCGTCACTGGTGTTGAAGCGCAGCGTGCTAACCACTGCGCCACCGCGCCTCGCATCACCACGTGTTTGTTACACCCCGCCCCTCCCGCCCTTAGCGTCACGTGTCTCTCACCCATAGCCCCCCCCCTCGCGTCACGTGTCTCTCTACTACAGCCCCCCCCCGCGCCCTTAGCGTCACGTGTCTCTCACCCATAGCCCACCCCCTCGCGTCACGTGTCTCTCACCCATAGCCCCCCCCCTCGCGTCACGTGTCTCTCTCCCATAGCCCCCCCCCCCTCGCGTCACGTGTCTCTCTCCTGCCGCCCGCCTGCGCCCCTCGGCCCCCCGCCCTTTGCGTCACGTGGTCCGGCCACAAGCCCCCCGAAGCGCGAGGGGGGGTGTTCCGAGAAAAAAAAAAACCCACCCGGACACAATCACGTGATCACAACACCGACCAATGGGTAGCCAACGCGATGAGAACAAGTAGTGACATCACGCACGAAATGTGAAACGCATTATCGAGTGTTAATTTTTTGTCAACATTATCGTAGCTCCATTCGCAACTTTAAATACGGGTATTTTGTGTGAATGTGATGAATAATTAGTATTTATTTAATACAATTTGAAAAAACCGAAAGCGTGTCGTCACGCGCGTGGGGGCGTGTCCGGGCGCCCCGGGGGAGGGGTCTTGCGCGGCGCCGCGTGCTCCCCTCACTCCGCCGCCAGTCAGAGCGGCAGTGGCAGCGAGGGGCGCCGTCGCTGTTCCCACTCACAACATTAACCCACGTCTACCCATTGTGTTAATTAACGAGCATCGCTCGAGGCCGCCGCCTCGTCCAGTGAACGGACAAAAAGACGCCCACTAGCTGTATCTCTTCCGTACCATCATTATTACGATTTCTACTACTACTACAGTAGTGTTTTTATTTTCGTCCCCCACCCGTTGCGGTGGAGGCGTAGTCGACGCGGAGATGCCTCTCGTGTGATTTTGGCCGCTCCGCGCTGTAGCCAGGAAAGGGGAGGGAGGGAGGGACACAACGACTCCTGTTGAAGCCCGGCAGGGCAGGGCGACTAGGAAAAGGCAGGGCGGGCACTGGCTCGGGCATGTTCCCCGGGCGCCACCTAGCGGCCACGCCGTGAGCTCCCTGGAGCCGAGCCCAATCCCGCACGCCCGCCCTGACCCCCTCTCACCCTGCCCGCCCAGCCCAAGGGTGTCCCCCACGGGTCCCGCCAACGTTTATAGCAGAGGCGAAATGGCCAATAGCGAGTCTTTTGTGTTCATTAAAGACATCAAGGCAGGACTTAAAAACCTTAACGTGGTATTCATAGTCCTGGAAATAGGTAAGTTGACCGAAAGCAAGAGTTGAACACGTGCGTCCATTATGGAGTTAAAGCAATGAATGCAAGGAGGTGGTGGATGAGGCAGGCGAGACTTGTGGCAATGTTTTTAATGGTAAAATGTAAAAAAAAAAGTGGTAATTGCAGTGCTAATGGAATAATCGTGGGCGATACCCACCACTGGTCGTTCCATATCAACTTGGAATATTTTGTAGGAGAATGGATACATTGGACATTTTGTTAGTTACCTTTTTGTTATGGGCCTCTTATTTGTCAGAACTCGCATGAATGTTCTGCCTAGTCCACGGACAGGGAGGGCAGCATGGTTTAACACCGCTTGTGTAAAAGTTGCACATTTGGCTCAGCGTGGGGTGATGTTTGATGTAATGTTCTGAAATGACGCGTGAAGGGAGAGTGACCAAGACCAAGGATGGACACGAGGTGCGGTCTTGCAAGGTGGCCGACAAGACGGGGAGCATGACCGTGTCCGTGTGGGACGACATTGGGGCACTCATCCAGGGGGGCGATATCCTGCGGCTCACACGGGGGTACGTGGTTCACAACACTCTCACGTGGGGCACCCTGCAAAATGCCACCCACACGCCCTAGCAACACACAGCCTTGGACATCTTTGGCCCAACAATCATTTAAACGGACCAGGATAAGATCATGCCAGTAACACCACATATCGTAAAAGGATACAAGCAGAATTAAAAGTAAAGCTTCCTTTATGTCGGTTTGGCAGTCCACTGCTGGATGAAGGCTGTATCAGACATGGGGAGGCTGTGTGGAGATTGGTGAAGTCGCCACTAATGTTTGCACTGACATGGAATCGGAAGTTAGCATATCGCAAATCCCCCAATATTCGAATATCTTGCACTATATCATTTCAGTTATAAGCAAGTAAGAGCCTATTGATACCATACATGAATTGTTTTAAAATCTTTAAAAATATGTATTTCAGTAGGAGCCCAGTACAGAGCACAAACCGCGACGTAGGGCGGTGGGGTACAAAAACTCCCGTGGACAAGTTCCGAACATTGTCTGCTGAATTTAGGGAAGGTGGGAGATTGGGTACGCTGTTCCACCATGTGGAGATTACGAGTTGGGTCCCATAAATTTATGTTAAATTAAGACCGCTTAAATAGCTTTTCAAATTAATCTTCCAAAACCTTTTAACTCGAATTAACAGCATTTCATCTAGCAATCAAGTAAATTGGATACCCAGTAATAAAGTGCAGCCTGCTAACTATGTGCAATCCCTGTGGGTGCCTTACTCAAATATCCCAACCCAGGGGTTGGTAACCAAAATAGAAAGAGCAATTTTTTTCGAATTCGGTAAACAAAAACTAAATATTTCAAGAGCCACAAGCATGTTAATACGAGATTGACCTTAATACATAACATCACGAAGCAGTCCTTAAAGAGCCACATGCGGCTCCGGAGCCGCAGGTTTCCAAGCCCTGCCCCAAACCATGCGTCCATGCCACTTGCCCTTCCATGTGAACGCTTTCTTTTGCTGGAACCCACCAGGACTTATCCCTGCTCAGCACCAAGAAACAAGAAGGGCTTCACAATGATATGCACATGTGGAGCCTTTTAAACTGGAGCATGGCCATGAAATGCACAGTAAATCACTTGGACAAGTCGGGCGGCACATAAAATCTTGAGCTGGCACGTCTTTGTTCCACCCGTGAACATAAAAAATAATTCCAGTTGCACATGCTGAAACCCGTGGCCACATCTGCCTTAACACCTCTATAGCAGATTTGGATGCATGTGCCCATACACTCAGCACTTATGAGTGTTTTTACTTGACATTCACGAGTTAAATTCCTGAATCATCTGGATGCATCCTCCGGTCCTGTAGTTGGCTGAATGGCTAAGAAGAAGAATCGAATTAAAACGCTTTGGGGAAAATAACATGCATTATTGTTTAAATAATTATGGTGTGGTCTTCTAGCTTGCATAGAAATTTATCTTTAACTGAGCATTTCTGTTAATTATTTTTAAATCAAGCATGAATCATAATTGTGAAACTTGACTGAATCTGTAATGCTCACCCGAGTTTGTAATATGCACTAAAAGTAGTCAAGTTGGCCTAATCTTCTATTAATCGTAATTATTAAGGTACCAATGAGGCATAACTTTAGAGGTGTAAAAACACGATAATGGTCTCCCTGAATGATACCAACAACTAAAGTGCAAATAACTTTTAAAAACATGAGCGAAATAATTTGGTTAGCTTACTCAACATTTAAAAAAAAATTCTTAGCAGGATGGACTTCGAACGATCACCAATACAATTGAGTTATCCAAACCATTGGCTACATGCCCGATATTTATTTTGCAAATTCCCTCCCCGGCAGAAGGTGGCAGCATAGACTGACTAACAAGAGTCATAATGTAATGGTCGACTTGCGTGAGAATATCCTTCATCAGTGACTCGCCGGCATGGCATGAGTGCCAAATACGACCCAACTGCACACGTGGAATACGTTAGGACCACATGCCAGAGGATTAATGAAATCCTGCTGTCCGCTTGGAGGAATTCTTGCAAAGAGCAAGGGGTTGCTATATTTTAGATATAACACTGTACATGGGCGTAGTTAACAATATTGTAGCCGTTTTTTGTGATTTCCTCCATTTAAGTTATAAATGAATGTGAAATGAACATCCAGGGTGCTATAGGTGACTCCTGGGTGCCTTCCAGAGCTATATTTCAGCAACAATGATCTAACCAACCACTGCAAATGTGTAAATATTTAATACCACTTGCACTGCCTGTGCATTTGCGGGTGATACACGTCCAGGGGGTGGAGGTTGTGGATTTACTCTCCAACACACTGGTGTGCTGTACTAGTAACGAACTGGCATGTTCTGTTTACGTGACAAACCTTACTCATTGGCCATGTCAGGTGGTGCTGGGTTTAACGACACATTTACCGTATATTTATGTAATCTCACCCAAAAAAACCTGTATTATGCATGTTTGGATTATATAGTCTGTATCAAAACAGTTAATCCATAATTTTAATAAGCATGTAGTGAACGATCCTTGAAGAAATTGGCAAAGTGTTCACTCAATAAACCAAGATATGTTAAACTAAGTTAAGTGTTCATTCAAGCAACTGTTCTTAGCAATACATAGGTGGAGGTTTGAACGGGAGATATTTATGTTTTTAGACATGGCTGGAAAAAATACCTTTTAATGAAAATAGCTTATTGTTTCATATTTGATTTGTGTGACTGAGTACAGATATGCCACCATGTGGAAGGGCTGCCTAACATTGTACACAGGCCGTGGAGGAGACCTGCAGAAGATTGGAGAGTAAGTGCAACATCTTCGTGCAACATATGTATCAGTTGTAAACACCGGAGTTGGCAAAATACTGGAATGGGATGTATTAGCACGTTTAAATATGCATGATAAGTGTTAATGATGCAGGTGAGAGTGGTGTTGATTTTGCTTGTCTGTGTCTCCAGAATATTAATTTTCTCTATCTTTGGTTTGTATCTCACAATTTCCAGATTCTGCATGGCATTCTCAGAAGTTCCAAACTTTAGTGAACCAAACCCTGATTTCATGAACCAGGGTAAAACGGTAAGTTGGCCACTTTTAACATATATTATAAGCGTAGCCAGTGATTGATAATGAACGCCACTGATGATGTTTTTTGCCGTGTTGTCAGGGAGATGCCAGGAGCAACTCTCCCACCAGTCAGCTTGGGGCTGGACAAGCAAACCCAGCAGGTGTGTGTGCACTCAGTGAGGGGCTGTCAAACAGCTCAGCATATCTTTGACAGTGGCAGTGCTTGGAGTGGCAGAGGATTGACCTCTATTGTCTCAGGCCACGTGATTGCATTTCCAGCAGCAATTCTGGTCATGTCTTTTTTCCTCTGCTCTGCTAATGTTGGATATGCTTTTTTATTCAGATGTGCTATAATTGTATTACACTTAAACCAGGAAATACATTTGAACAGGCTGTTAGTCATCACAATAAATACATATATGGGTCTAGCATATAGACCTAAATATATATTGGCATGTTGATGTTTATTTGTGAAAATCATTAAACAATTGTCATACTACTTAGATGAATGGTATGTTACAATTCAGTATAAATTCATGTTTTTTTGGGCATGAGCAAACCTAAGTGTAAATGTGACATTTATAGAAAAAAACATTGGTAGAAGTGTAAGTAGGCTCAACCTAATTTAGCAGACTTGGGTTTATTTTAACAAAAGATGCAGAAATTAAACAACAATCCATCCACATTTACAGAGATTGTTGTCACTCCAAAACCAACACCATTGTACCCTGTGTATAGTAAAGCTTCATAAAATGACAAGTTTATGATATTACAAATGGTTTCGAAATTGTTTTACTGTATGTAATTTAGTTTACTTTAAAGAAATTTGTCTTGTGAAATGTGTGTGCTGTTTTACCGCCGTAGCTTGGTTTTGGATTTTGGTTTGTGTAGTTAAAATTCACACTCAAAGCGCCTTTTAGACATGCAGTGAATGCTTCCTTGTTTGATGTCACGTATGTAATTAGTGGTGACTGCATTACACGGAATAACCTGACCTGTGTGTCTCTCCTAGAAGTGTACGTTTGAAAATATTAATGTTACTGGTCTTGGTATCGGCTTCCACATCCGTTAACATTGCTTGATAAATTTAGAACACTGATGAATTTCATTGCTCTACCAGCCTCTGTTGAATTACATTTTAATGGAGTTCTGCCATGGCAGGTTACATTTCCAGACTAGTTTCTATTTCACAGATAAAAATAAAATTTCTAGTTAAAGGAAAAAACGTGCTGTGTAATGCACGATAGCTTAATTACAAATGAACTGCTACAGGCAGGCATGTAGTAGATACTTTTAATAATAGCAATACATCTTGGATGAGTGCACCACCCCTGGTGATATCTTTATGGAAATGTGTGCTGTTCTTCGCCAGGCAATGGTTCTCAAGCAATGCCAGTTTTGGGTTCTGGAGCGCCACCTCCAGGCTATAGCTCCACCATGCAGCCGCCTGCTCTGCCGGCACACACTGTGGGGGGCCGGGGAAATGGCCGGGGTGGGTTGTTGGCTCCACCCGGTGCCGTGGGGTTGCCGGCGCTGCCTGGACCTGGATTGAGCAATGGCCGTGACCCTCGGCGTGGCAGCAAGAGATGAAGGCTGCTGCGTGGTCCTGCTGGCAGCGAGACATGCACAGCCAGTGTACACACACTGGGCACACGCGCACACCTGCACGTCACTGCTGATGTTTGCACAAAAGTGAACTCAGGCCTCCACAATTTAAAATAGAAAACTGTACGAGAGATAGGGATGCAAAAATCTTGCACACAGTGAAATATTTGTACACGTAAGGCAGTACAGTATACTGCAACTCGTGCAAGTTTGTTCTGCACAAGCAGAGCTTTTCAACTACACATCTACGACGTGCATTTCTGCACTTGGTCAAGAAGTCACAAACAACAATGATCTTTCACCTTTGTGTTAAGTTTATTTTAATTCATGCCATGTTAAGCACATTCATTGGTTCATTCATTTTCTAGCGTACCCTGTACTAAAGCCACATTCCACCAAACGTAAATAATGTTAACGAAAACAAGATTCCTTTTTTCGGAAAAAATTTATCCGTGGCTCATAACATCTAGATTAGGCAGTTTAAAAATATATGTTCTGCAGTATGATGTGAACTGACCTTCAGTTCACAAGCAAGGCAGTGCATTCATTTTATACAAGCAATGCAGCAATGCTACTTATGACAAGGGGTCACGACACATGAGCTACTGAGGGTGTGTTTTTGAAGTACAGTACATATACACTCAAATGAGTATTGGAAATGATTTTCTGTTCAAACGATGCATTAAAGTGATTTGCATATTAATGAATGAATGTTGCCAGATTTAGGCCTTTGATGCTAAAAGGATGGCAAATGCTACATTTACATTAAACATCACAAATGCACTGCTAGAAAGCCCCTCAAAAACGTGTGCTTTAAGCACACGAATATACTTGAATGCTGCAGTAAATACTGCTTTGGAGCTAGGTATATATTTTTTTTACATTTTTGTTTCCACTTTGCCATTCACTTGGGGTTTATTTGCTGCTTGCCAAATGCCAAACCATGTGAAATAGCCCATTACATCAGTTGAACTTACAATGCGTTCGGTAACAGAGCTGCACTGCTTGTTTGTGAGTTGCCTCCGGGCTTTGTACCACACGTGCCCTGTGCACCAACAGCCCCTCTGTACAGAACATTACTCGCCTCTTCAAGTTCTGCTATTTTTAAACTGGTTTAGTGAAATTGTAGCGATGGTGAATGAATGAACTTGATATTGTACATCATTTGAATACATTTGGCTTTTATTAAGGTACATCTTTTTGTATTTTGTTCATGTTGGTGAATTGATTGCATTGTTTTGAATCATTATTTGCTGCTGGCTTATATTTATTGAAAGGAAACCGCAGCATTGGGATCATAGATAGTACAGTGCTTACATGTTCTTGAATACATGAATACTGTGCGAGAAAATTAATTTGTCATGCTTATGGCTATGACAATGCTGCTGAATTTTACTTGTAAAGGTTACAGGTCGGTCTGTTGTAATTTTGAAGCACATCTGCAACAAAGTATTTTTAAAATAATAAGCATAAATAAGATATTTAAATTTGTCCGTAAAGTTTTAGTAACTGACTTCGATAACTATATGAATAGAATACTGTACCTAAGAACTTCCACGAGTAAATTTCCATTAGTTATTGGTATATACTTTTGACGTAAAGTTTGCTAATTGTCAATATGATTCCTGAACTGATGGTTAGATTGTGTCACTTCCCTGGAGGTGGGTGGTGGACACGTTGGGCTCCAGGATGAAGTGGTGAGCAGGATCTGAGATGCATAATGCATTTTCACACTTGCCATGTTACACTTGGCCACCTCATTACATGCATACTGCAGTCCCAAACATGTGTTGTGCATCCCAACATTGCTTTTAGCTTGGGTGCATGCCTTATTTTTGAGGGTTGCACAGACATACTGTTTTGAGTTGCCCTATTTTTGTTAAACGAAATCCAAAGGGCAACCTCAAATTAGTACCGCACAGTTAAAATGTGAGTTGCGATTATGCATATGCGGAGGCATTCATACTGGCGTCAAAATCAAAATTTAATGACCTAATGCAAAGTGAATCGTTGATTCTACTGCAAACTGTTCAAAATGTGTTTAGAATTCCAAAATAACTGGGCAAAACAATACTCGACTATATTCACTTTTACTTAAAGTAAGATTTACTAATTTTGTGTTATACAAGTTTGATATGAATCACATTTAGCAATACAGTACTAAAACAGCAGTGGTGCCTAATCATAAAAACACCAAGTAGATAATACTGCTCTAAAAGATAATGTTTTGGGTGATGGCCCTTCGTAAGACATGATTAGTGCGCGCCACGGTGGCGAGATGTTAACTACCTCGCCTTGAAATATAAGAATAGGCTTTACCTTTTCTGGCAATAAAACAGTTGCCACCGCTGCTCCTTTCCCTCGATGTGGCGGTGGCTCTCGTTTTTTAACAGGCTAAATGTCTCACTAACACAGCCACCATTGCGGTGGTTCTCTTACATTGACATGCTAATCTCTCAATACAATGGCCACCTCCACAGCTTTGTTTTCCTCCATGTGGCGCCCGGTTTTCTTTCATTGACATGTTAATACTTACATTAACAGATTGACATGCTAATCTCTCAATACAATGGCCACCTCCACAGCTTCGTAGTTGTGGAGGTATATAAGCTCTCCGATCTTACATTTACACGCAAATTCCATCTCTAGCCCCACTTACCCATGGGCTACACCCATCTCAAACCTATATAACATCCTGCGTTAGCAGCTCTCCTGCTATATTTGTTCCTGTCTCAGCAGCTCTCCCGCTATAATTTTTCACCTGATGACGATTGCTTGTGTTGCGATGGAAACGTGATATTTTCATTATTATTTATCTACATGGCTTTACCGAAAGTCCCAAAGAATAGGTGCTAAGATGTTCAAACACCAAATAGATACCTTTTGGAAGGTATTAAGTCAGTATTAACCACGTACTTGTGAACTTGCAAACAAAATATGCTCCTATAATATATGCATTGTTTTTGAAACTGATTGGCCTACACCAGAGGCAGCCTTCTTAATGGCCTAGTCTCACCAGTGTCAGACCAGAGAACGCAATAGGCGATCAGTACAAAGCCAATGCCACACGTATCAGATCATTTATAGCTGGGGGTGAGCAGCGACATCATGGTACCTTTTGCCAGTATGAACAAGTATAACCCGTAAAAACAAAGTTTTTCACTATAAATACTTTATATGCGTGGCGGCTAGAGTCATCTCGTCCTCTGGCTTGAGATGGCTGCCACCTATGGGTCAGATTGTCTGCCAGTATTAAACAATTGGTAATTAAATATTTAATTTGTTTTCCCTAAACAGTATACAAATTTTGAATTTTTTTGTTCACGAACATTAATTGTCTCGCACAACGAGTCTGTGTGCAAAATGTCAGCTCGATTGGATCACGGGAAGTGGGTTAAAAAAACGACCGAAAGGTTTGCACAGTCGTAAGCAAGCAAGCAAGCACGCAAGCGAACTTAATATAAAGGATTTAAAAATAATAGATTGTACCCTTTCTGGCAATTAAACTATGTTTTGTGTGCATGTTCACAATTACGTGTGGTTAATGCAGACTTTGATTCCTTGCAAAAGGTGTTTGAACATTTTAACACTTGTTTTATTGCCAGAAAGAGGTTAAACCTATTCTTATTTGTAATACTTTGATACTGACAAAAAAGGTATGAAATAGCTGCTCATCCTGAGCTATAAATTCTCTGATATGTGCATTGGCTTTGTACTGTGCGCCTTTTTGGCATTCTCTAGTCTGACACTGGTGAGACTAGGCCGTAAAAAAGGCTGTCTGATGTCGGCCAATAAGTTTCCAAGACAATGCATATATTATCAGTGCATGTTTTGTTTGCATGTTCACCATAGGTACGTGTGGTTAATGCAGACTCGATTCCTTGCAAAAAGTGTTTATTTGGTCTTTGAACATCTTCACACTTGTTTTATTGCCAGAAAGGATGAAACCTATTCTTATATTTCATACTTTGATACTGGAAAAGAAGGTCCCATAATATAGCTACCTCGTCTTATATACAGGAGGTCGTGCGTGCGATCCCGATCCCGATCCTGACGCCTGTATATTTCAATTTTGTTCTCCCCATGGTCACGTGTATTTTTCTCCAGGTCATCCGTTTTTTCCCTCCACATTTAAAAATATGTGTTTAGAGTATTTGGCTGCTGTACATTTCCACACTATAAGCCACTTCGTTAACCTATTATTTGTGGCCAGGTAGCGTCTGAAAAAGAGCTATATCGCTCAGTGGGCCTTACCTGGTCAAATAACAATTTTTTTATATCAAATATGTGATCTTTGCAAGGAAAATTAGTGAATTACAATTTCCTGTTCGGATCAGATTTCAGTTTTATCAAATGTTAATGGTTATTTTTCCTAACTTTTTTAGACTTGTGAATGGAGCTCCTAGCTCAGATTATCATGGAGAACTATGTTTAAGGAATACTGAGCCTCAGCCCAGCTAATTATGGTCTATATACCATGTAAAACGACTACCAGTCAAATAAAACATGCATAATCTTCGAGTGAGGTATGCTATATTTTAAAAGATTGGACTGCATTCATTTTAGGTACAGTATGACCCATTAACTAAACAAATAATGGTCAATCGATAATGGCAGGTGGTGTGCAATCTGGCCCCTATGTGCCCAGACTTTCATAATTTGCGATGCAAATGGTGACGGTCATAGAAGTGGGCATCAAGTGGGTCTCAGTTCTGGGCTGCTTGCCCGTAAGTTGGTGGGTCCATCAACGTTTTTCGATCATTAAAATAATGATTGTTGAAAAGGCTTCGGACTGTTTAAATTGTGAAAATTACTTGGGTTATCGCATAAAGGCAATGACTTAGAAAATACCTTAATTTATGCAAATGCATTGCGTGAGACGTATCCAATTTTTACATCACATTTACAATTACTGTAGTGAATACCCTGGTTTGGCGGGACGTTAATGCAACGGATGCACGACCGCTCCTCCAATGGAGTGGAGCTGCCATTTTGCGCTGTTAGGCAGCTGCAGATTCCACGCACTGGGAGTGCTGAACAACAACTTGCATGAGAACACCCATTGTATTGCCTCCTGCCTCTGTCTTCGCATCACCCATTACTTAGTCCTCAAAACCAGCTTGTGAATAAAGGGAATTTTGTTTAAATTATAAATAATTCGAGATTGTGCATGCGCGTGACGCTTCGTTCTCAGAAGCAGAATTTGGCGTCCGGCAGATGCTTCCAAGTCATGGTGATGTAGATCTAACAGGCCAGGATATGCCGAGATTGAGTCTGATCTCGGGCATGATGCGTGTTGGCAGTAGGCTGTTTTGTCGTGTCCTCGGGTGCTTACTGATGGCAACAGAAGTCCTTGTTTCGTCCTTGCTCCAAATGTAGTTGGGATAGTTCTGGGAATGTGGGTGGGGAGGCGAGCAGCGTTAACAAATATATGGTCTGGTTGGTGAATGTCGCCTTCAGCATAATTAAGCGACATGCCGGTTTAAAGCAGTGCCACATGTGAGGCTAGACACTATCTTGCACAATACATTGTCATGATTTTGTCTGTGTAGCCTGGAAGTGAATTTACTTGTACAGTGCGTATTAAATTAGCCCAGCTGCATTTATTAATGCAAGTCAAGCTTATTTGAAATAAACTGACTTTGCATCTTTGTAATTGCAACAGCGCAAACAGCTTGCTGTTTTAATTTTTATCTTTCCTGGCGGGTCGGTTAGGTGTGTGAGCTCGGATGCTGCTGTGTTGGATGGCAGTGTTTGTGGTGGTGGGGTAGAAGTCCCAGCGTTGATCTCGCTTCACCCTGAGTCCGATTGTCAGAGGTAGAAATTGCAAGTGCAGTGGTTGGACAGTGCGATAGTTTTGGATGTGGTTCTAGATCACCCCGTTGGGGTCCTCTGCTGGAAATGCTGTGCTTTAGAGTTACCGAGCTATAAGAACGATACCGTGGCATTACTGCATTACCCAGCTGGGGCCTTCTCAATGTATGGACTGAGACAGTCCAGTGTCCTCAATGCTGGCAATACTGATTTATGTTGGTAGTATGAACAATTTATTTTAACACGTGTGGGATTAATTAAAATGTTTTGTTGGTGTTTCAGAAGTGAGCCCCCCTTCCTGCAAACTCAATTCTCACGGTTTATCCGAGAGATGTATGAGCTCCCTGGTGTTGCTTCTCTTCTGTCTGTACCGCAGAGACCATTTCAAGTAATTCCAACTTCCCATTACGCACTTCTTGGCGCATACCGCGCCTCTCTCCTTTGTAAGTGGGACAGCCCAGGACCCCCCTCTTGCTGCCTCTCCTATCAGAAGTTTTGGCACAGCTTCCCACCGACCTTGGAAAGTTGGTTGGTTATGCATTGTTTATTTGTTTTACCATTGTATTTTTCCCCGAGCTTTGTAAGAAAATTCCAAATTATCACATATCCTACAAACTTGTTTACACGCGGTACACCAAAAGGACCACATTTTAAACGTGGAAAATGTACTGAGAGTATGTAAAATTAAAGTGTGTAATTTTTACGTGTTCTTGCCCAATTGTGTTTAAAATAATGCTTCTCAATGGCAATTGGTGCGATGCTCCGTGAAAGGATTTCTGCACCCATCTGGCGACAAGGCGTCTCGACAGAATAGTTGAACCTGGGTGACAACCTTGAGAGCTTTTCCTCGTGTTCGTTATTGAAAATGCGACATGCGCTGCCTCGAGTGAGTGGCTAAACACAGTTCAAAACCTATAGTGGTGCTCATAAATGTGAAAGCTATGAATAATAGCATTTTCTGAAATTGATATAGGTTTGCTGTCGATATTAACATACTACTGTACTTTATTGCTTTTTTTTTATAACTGTAGTGGGTCCAACTGAGTTGCAGACGTTCCTTTTAGAGGCAACACTTTTATTTGTAACACCGTAACATAAAAGTGTAATTTGCCCCTTTACCAGACTACAGCGAATTACTGCTACGAAGGGTCAATCTCTCACTCGGGTCTCCGACCACGTGGTTGCCTCGTAAGACGGAGAGTTTCAGCTTGCGGCGTAGAGCTTCCCACTTGTAGATGTTTAGCTTCCAGCTTGTAGAGTGCAGCGACCCCGGTCCCTCTCAGGGACCCGCCTTATATCCCTCTCCGGTCGGGGCCGCTCCGCCCTCGGCCCCGCCCGCCTTCCCGAACATTCTCATTCCCTCTCGATCATTCTCAAGAGCTCTCTCCGGTCACGTGATCACTCCCGAGTCCCCCCACCTGGGGCCCCCTGTATGGACATTCCGGATCACGTGTCTATGGGGTCAACCAGAGTGCCATGGCCCTGGGCAACCATGGCCCTAGACTGACACCCCCTCCCCCTCGGGGGAGCCCCCAACACACGCTGTGCATGGTGCCCGCACTATCCCAGTGCTCACGAAGCCTCGCTAGGGCTGTGTCACACACAGCCACCCACACGGCGCTGTCCACGATGTAGGAACATCGAACGGCACTACCCTTCCGGGCCGGCACCATACAGTGACATCCCCGATGTCAGTACATAACTATTAACTGACTGTGTTGACTGGAACTATAATGGTTAGTAATAAAAGAAAATTCGTATGAAACTGTTGAATAATTCAAATACTATAAATCGTATATTGTGGAAAATTTTAATATAGGTGATCTGTGAGCCATCCTCACGCACTCTCACCATGCAGACACAAAATCTCCGCACTCAGCATAGAACACACCAATCACCCACATGGGAATACACTAGGCGGGGGACAAGGTTTAAAAGGCACTAACGTCACATGGACTCGGTGTGCGAGACGGAGAAATGGATTGGGAACGAGGGCGAAGATGGAGGGTTTAAAAGCGGCTGTTAAACACGTGTTCGGGGTTGGTTTTAGGAACGAGTGTGGCTGTGGTTTAAAGAATAAAGAAGTGCTTAACCAGTCTCTGACTCCTCTTCATCTGGTGGCAGCGGTGGGAGGTCTCGCTTCAGCCGACGCAAGATCCCAAGGGGGGAGACTCAGCCAGAAGACGCTCTAGGTGCCCGGGATGATAATTGCTTGGAAATGGAACTGACGAGTCGGGATTCGTCCCGTGTGGGCACCTTCCTCCACCAGACCCGGTGGTGCAGACCCAGCACCGCTGACGCCCCAGATTATCCTCTAGGGATCAGAAAATGGATCAGCTGCTGGAGACAGTAACCGCGCTGCTTCGCCGGCTGAGTCCTCCCCAGCGAAGGGACGGGTGCCACGGTCAGCCTTCCTGACCAGACACTCCGCAGCAGCTATCAGCGGATGGAGCAGCTCCAGTGCTGCCGCCGACCATGCGTCCCGCGTGGGACCTGGGAGAAAACCCTGGCCTGTCTTCCCGATATCCGCTGACAGCAGCGGCAACCGGCGGACATGAACGACTGGAGGGCAGTGGAGAGCAGCTGACCGGGTAAGGGGCAAGGGCACTAATCGGAAGTGAGATTCAACCCAAAACTAAGCAGAGGCAGCGTGGAGGGAGGACCAGGATGGAGCCGCCAGCTGGGCGCGATACAGAGGTTCACGTCCAGATTGGGAGAAGCCACCCGGGCAATGAAGTAGACGGAGGAGCAAGCCCACACTGGCAGTATTCAACCAGATTCTACCTGCAAAAAGAGGATCCCTGCAGGGCGTCTCCAAGGAGATGGCGGAGGTGTTCGACCCTCCGTCCGGGGCATGCCAGAAGTTTAAAAACTGCCAGCAGGAAGTATCCGAATTGCTCCTGGTCTTCAGGACAGAATTTTTGATGCTGGCAGAAGCCGCATTCCCACAGTTCAACGAGCCGGGCCTGAACTCGCTGATGGCAGAGCGGCTCCTTGCCATAGCACAGAAGGTGGGAGTGATGTTGCTGGTGGTGGAGGAGTAAACCTGCACCTCGCTCTGGGTTGCACGACATTTCTGGGCTTACGAAGAGATAGCGGGACCCGCGTGAAGTGTGGCACATGTCGCATGGAATCGCAGTGATGTCGAGGGGTTGCCACGGTCCCCAATCAGACACGCGCCGCCGGTGGAGGAGGACGAGGGAGAGATAGTGGCAGCCCTGCGGCAGTATCCGAGGATCCTGCAAGAAGCAGAGCGCCGACCCCTGCGTTGGGCATTTCGCGAGGCAGAAGAGCATCCTCGGGCAACGGAAGAAGTCATCTGCCATCGCCGGTCACGGATCCCTTTGCAGTGAGTGACCTGGCTTGGCTGCACTGCCCGCAGGTATCGTTACATATGTCAAGCGAAACTGCATCGGCCCTGAAGAGGGCCCGGTCACAGTGGTACAGGTATTGCGACCTCAATGTGTTCGCATTCAGTTGGGAAAACGTAGGTGGTACGTTCACCCCTCTAGGCTAAAACGTTACGTCACGGCCGAGCTGCCCCTTTGAGCATCGTCACCTTGCTCAACTTCATCATCACTTCGGCCGGGTGGGAGGAGGTTGTCACACTCGCGGCCTGCTACGCGTTCGACTGACAATGCAGCCACTGCCCATTCTGCAGGACTACAGGACGCCAGCACCGGATCCATAGGCGTCCGTGGCTGAAAACACAGCCGCAGCATCGGACTTTGCCACAGGACGGGGATCCTTAACCCACTCATGCTCACGCCGCCTCGTTGCAGCTGTGGACACGGACATCCCTGCAACCCTGTTGTGTTCGGTCGAGGGGTCGGATCGTGGGTGAAGTCTGCGACAGAGGTGGCACACTTGTTAACAAGGGGACGGAGGGGGAATTGTGTTGTGTTACTTTTGCCTTTTTTGCACATTTCCGTTGTGTTACTTTTGCCTTCATTGCACTTTTTTTGTTCTTTGTTGAAATGACATGCGCCCGGCCGCGGTTGGCTTTGACCGGCCGAGGTGCACAGTTGTTGAGCCGAGGACCGTTCGGTCTCATGGAATGGGGTGGGGTGATGTAGGGGATCTGCGAGCCATCCTCACGCACTCGCACCACGCAGACATGAAATCTCCACACTCAGCATAGCACACACCAATCACACGCACGGGAATACACTCGACGGGGGTCAAGGGTTAAAGGGCACTGACGTCACACTGACTCGGCGTGCGAGACGAAGATGTGGATTGGGAATGAGGGCGGAGATGGAATGTTTAAAAGGGGCTGTTAAACGCGTGTTCGGGGTTGGTTTTAGGAATGAGTGTGGCTGTGGTTTAAATAATAAAGAAGCACTTAACCAGTCTCCGACTCCTCTTCATAGGTAAACACTTGTTCATTCTTATAGTGAATGCATTTCGAAGTACAGGCATCCCCAGGTTGCGGAAGGGTTAGGTTCCCTAGAAATATCCAGAACCCGAATCTCCCGCATGTCGGAAACTGAACAATTTTACCCCCAAAATCAAGATAAAATCCCATATACGGAAATAGTTGTGCCTCCCCTACTGTTTTCATCATGCCACCGTCCATTTTCTATCGCTACCCGCATTGTATCGCTGTACATACGCTCTGCCCTTCCTATTATTCTTACATTTAATCGAATAGCTACCCTAACACTCCCCATAATTAAACTAATGGAACATATACTGTACTGTGTTCAATTGTTTATGAATACCACGAAGCATAGAAAGCAAACAATTACGTAATGCTACAAAAGGAAAAGAGACAATGTGGCAGGTAGAGTATACTCATGGTAACAATTTAACACCATGATAGAAGAGTGATCTACAGGATACCACCGCCTTGGGGAATATTCAGCCCTTCCTTATGCCTCGCTCCGCTGTATCCATCTGCAACCTCACCACCATGCTGCAATATTTGTGCTTACGTAACTAATGCAAAACATTTTCGCATACAGTATTGAATATTTGTATCGCTGTAAATGGGCCACGTGTACTAATGGGTCGTGCTACTTACCTGCAGTTGCGAACGAGGTCCACCAGGGGCAATATCTCGGACCGGCATAGGGGCCGCTAGATTCCCCAACTCCGAGACAAAGGGGGCCTGTGGGGTGTGCTGGGGTCCCCCGTGACCCCCCTCGGAACTCTCTGGAAGTAAGGCGTGGCCGGGGGTGGGCACGCCTCCAGAGCTGTATGAAAGTCGGACCACTGGACGGCTCGGGAGCCAGTGGAGGACTGAAGACCAGCTAGCCAGTTGAAGACTGAAGCCCAGCTAGCTAGGACCCTGGGACTCACCTGATCCGCCGTCCTTGTAAGGGCCAGGTCTGAGTGGGCCAGTGGTCGGGACCTGTACCTTGGCTGGGTCAGTTCAGAACAGCCTCCTCTAGGTCACCCCTAGCCAGAGGACCCAGAGACCGTAGCCCCAGTCGTAGGGCATGTCAGTCCAGAGGCGGTACCTCCTTAGGCAGCGGGTGAAGGGGCCGTTACCCCCTTCAAGTGTTAAGGGTTCGCTACGCACTGTATCGTAGCCATTGTTAATGAACGTGTTGCCTCCAACCGTTCATCTCCACCCTCGTTAAAACCCACACTTACATATTTTGCATTATTTATGGGAGCATTTCCGTAAAGTCGGATTTACGTTTTAGTTTTCAGTTTCATTTATTTGGTATTGCCCTGTGAGCCATTCGGGTGCAACCACAACAAACAAAAAAACATGAACAAGAAAACATCTTAAAGTGACTATGTGCAAATAGAAAAATCCAGGAAAAAACTGCAAAGTCTCCCAGAAAAAAAACACCGTACACCAACACTGTGCAAAAATCCCAGTGGGATGCAGGTCAAACAACAACAACAACAACCACCACAAGACAACTTAAATTAAAGCCATCATTCTAACTCTGTACTACAACAAACAAACATGGCCAAACCAAAAAACTTTTCGAAATCAGCAAAATAAAGCCATAAGCAATGTAAATGTAAGTCTGTCTTCCGTAACCCGGGGACTGCCTGTAGTGTAAATTTAACAGATGGGATGATTCTGAAAAAAAAACATGTTCTGTACATTAATTGAAATATGTTGAAGCATCATCTTAGGATTGACCAGATTATACTTTAATAACGTCCCGTTTATGAATGTTGATGTTGAAACACAACCCTTAAAATTCATTGCTGAATATAAACTCACTCATGTTTACAATGTATGGTTATCTTATCATGGTTTATAGAGAATTGTCACTGATAACTGTACCAAAAGCTTTGGCTATCCTTGGCATAATGCCTTTCATGCGTTTATAGCTATTTGGATCTTTCCACTAAATATGAACCAGCAGTCTGCCAGCACCTCCGTAATCAATCACAGATTTATAAACACAGTAAAAGTTGTGCCCTTTTCGGAGAGCAGCTTCACAAGCAAACCTTATACGGTTGCAGTTAGAAATGCGCTCATTCCACTCCGTTTTTAACAATTTATCTAACTGCCATGTGGATTTTTGAACATAAAATATCTAAGCAAAGTCCAAAACAAATCCAAGGGAAAACTTGCTTTATTTAAAAAAAACATGGATTTTCCCCGTTGCTTGCAACCAACAGGGGGAAATACATTTTTTGCAAATGGGTAAAGTCCAGTCATTTTTAATGTTATGTAACTGTAAGATTACTTCCCAAAAAACTCCATTAACTTGGAAGAGTGGGGTTTA